CCCAAATCCTACATTTCATTCTGTAGCAGTCTTTTTAGACTAGTCAATTGTTTGACCTGTCATTGTTAGCTTGCACTGTTCTGTATACTCTTTCTATACATTGTTTCATGTTGCGATTAGCAAATGCAAATAAGGCGTACCTTTGAAAACCCCCCCAAAACTAAGTGCGCGGGTGAATAAAAAAAATACCAGCCAAAAAATAAATAAATAAACCTGCTAAACCACATGACTATAAAGCTGGTATTGGGAATTTGCAGTACCACACAACCAATTTTTACGACAAGCCAGTACATAGTTTTTTGGAGAACAGGAGAAAATCAATGCGCGAGCGGATGCCAATCACAAAATTATATCAGTGTTTCTTAAATATTGAATTTGTGTAGTATTACCGACTTGGACTGCCCCGGAGACTACAGCGTCGCCTACAAATGGAAGGTTCGGGAGGAGACAGTCCGAAGTGGCGAGCAGCCAGATATACCTGCAGAAATTTCAATACGCGAGGAAAGGTACATTTTCTCTTATGCTAGGTTCACATGTACAAGCCGGGGCCCGGCCGGGTAGTTCAATTCAATTCAATCAATTTATTCAATCAAACAAAATCGTCCAAAAGCAGGAAATGCTAATGCCCTGAATTATGTGTTCGATTTTTTTCGGGATAAAAAGACAAAACAGGACAGGAACACACTATATACAAATATGTACAAACACATATTTGACCTTGACCTTTGGCTTCCTAAGACCTACCAGCATACCAAATATCGTCACAATCCATAAAGGCGTTCTGAAGTTATGCTGACTACAAATGTGCGAAAACACACACACACACACACACACACACACACACACACACACACACACACACACAGACGCACCAAAAACAATACCTCCATTTTTCATGGAGGTAATGACATGAATAAGACTATCTAATAGGGAAAACATGTGCCGTTATTTACAATCATAGTAAATGGATGATTTGGCTGGAAATAAGGAAACTCAGTACAGGGTATATGGTATTGTAGTTGTTTCTATTTCTTTTCCCTTGATGCTTACCGGAAACAGTCTGCTTAGTTACCATGACAACATGATCACGATCCCTGGCAACACGCTTGCCCCTGGGAAGTACAGCCTGCTGCTGTGCGTGTCTGTGTCGCAAGGCGGCGCTGTGACCACTGCAGCGGTGTCCACGTGGGTTCAGATCGCATTCTCTCCTATTAACATCCTCATCACCGGAGGATCCAGGAGGTAAGATATAGATAGATAGATAGATAGATAGATAGATAGATAGAAAGATAGATAGATAGATAGATAGATAGATAGATAGATAGATAGATAGATAGATAGATAGATATTAGCTAGCTAGATGGATAGGTAGAGAGAGAGACAACGAAAGAGAAAGATAGACAGACGGATAGATAGACAGATAGAGGGAAAGAAATAGACGGATAGATAGGTAGAAAGAAAGAAAGAAAGAAAGAAAGGTAGATATACTAGATGGCTAGATGCCTCTGGATAGATAGGTACTATATAAGAAAGATCCTAGTAAATATATGGATAGATAGAAAAAAATAGATAGATAGATACTATAGATATATATATATATAAATAGATAAATAAATACATAGATAGATGGATAGAGAGATAGATAAACGGATAGCTGGATAGATAGTATTAGATAGAAATTAGTAGATAGATGGACGGATAGACGTATAGATAGAAAGAAATATTAGCTATCTATATGGATAGAGAGAAAGAAAGAAAGAAAGAAAGAAAGAAAGAAAGAAAGAAAGAAAGAAAGAAAGAAAGAAAGAGAAAGATATATGTATAGATAGAGACAGATAGGCGGATAGGTAGAAAGAAAGGTAGAGGTACTTGATAGCGCTATGCCTTGGATAGATAGATACTATATTATTAGATAGATCCTAGTAAATAGATGGATAGAAAGATAGATAGATAGATAGATACTCATTAGATAGATAGATAGATAGATAGATAGATAAATAGATAGATAGATAGATAGATACTCATTAGATAGATAGATAGATAGATACTCATTAGGTAGATAGATAGATAGATAGATAGATACTCATTAGATAGATATATAGATAGATAGATAGATAGATAGATAGATAGATACTCATTAGATAGATAGATAGATAGATAGATAGATAGATAGATAGATAGATACTCATTAGATAGATAGATAGATAGATAGATAGATAGATACTCATTAGATAGATAGATAGATAGATAGATAGATAGATAGATACTCATTAGATAGATAGATAGATAGATAGATGCTCATTAGATAGATAGATAGATAGATAGATACTCATTAGATAGATAGATAGATAATTATTAGGTAGATACTCATTAGATAGATACAAAGAAGTTATTTTGAATGCGGAAGCGGTCTGTGTTAACAGTTTCGATATAGCTTTGATGGATAAACGCGTGTTGTTTTCTTTTTTTTTTTACTGCGAACAAGGTCCCAGAGTGGCGGCTTTCTTATGGGTCAATTCCAAGCGGAGGCCTACATTATTGATCCAGATCAGCAGCGAGAGTCCATACAGTCGGCATCGAATTCCAACTTCAGGTTCACTGACAAGTGGGACTGGACCTGTCGCCGCCCAGATGGTACAGTTCAATTTATCTTCAACAGCGAGCAGATTATTATAGGACTGAGCAGAGCACTTTGGACTAATGCCTCTGTCTGTTTACAGCTTAGAGATAAATATCCAATATTTTGTCAAAAAGATCTCTGTTACATAGCGGATCATAATGACCCCCAGCGGGGGTCTTCACGCTTCGTTAAAGATGGAAAAATCTCAAGATTTACTCCAAAGATCTCAATATTCTAGACGAAATCTTGATATCCTATGAGACAATCTTGAGATTTTTCATGACAATCTCAAGATCTCAAGATTATATATGAGAGAGATGTTCTTGACAAAAGATTGGATATGTACCTCTAAGCTGTAAACAGACAGAGAGATTAGTCCAAAGTGCTCTGCTCAGTCCAATAATAATCTGCTCGCTGTTCTTTTCTTATTAGGCCACCTGACTTGATTTTAATAAATTATACCCTCTAAAGACCCCCAATCTAATGCAAGCGGGTAAAAAAAGTCCAGTCAAACAAAAAATGCTGCTAAACCACGCCACACAAATGCGAAGCTGGCATTGTTAATCAACGGTTGTACATGGCTGCTTATACCAGCCGGCACATGCTGGCCTTTTGCTAATCTCCAAGCAGATCTTTTGGTGGGGGTAAGACAGTATCAAACTGGCCAGTCTGTAACCATTTCCCCCTCCAAGCAGATCTTTTGGTGGGGGTAAGACAGTATCAAACTGGTCAGTCTGTAACCATTCCCCCCTCCAAGCAGATCTTTTGGTGGGGGTAAGACAGTATCAAACTGGCCAGTCTGTAACCATTTCCCCCTCCAAGCAGATCTTTTGACAGTATCAAATTGGCCAGTCTGTAACCATTTCCCACCCAAGACTATTTGACGTAGGTCACTCTTCCATTGCAGTAGTTTTGTTTTTGCAAGGAATGAGCTATGCAAGTAAAAAGCTACTATATTTTAACAAATTGAAGGGTTTATTCTTTTAGGAACAGCCTGTGGTCAGACCTTCAGCATATCAGGCCGGACCAACTCTTGGGCCAATTTTCTCGTGTCCAATGCATCCCCTATAAAGGCTACATCCGGGACCTTCATCATGCGGGTTGACAACCCTTACAGAACTTCAGGTCGTGTCTGGCTACCTTACGAACAGGAGGTGACTCTGATCCCCAAGGGATATCCCACCTGCTTTATAAGGTACCGCCATTCACCAGTTTCCCATCCCCAGAATGCAATGCAAAAACAGGGGCCTAAACCTCATTTGCATAGGACAGGAAGGCATCGGAATGATCCTGGTGACGTTAAACAGCTTGCTATTTGTTTTCAGATTCAACCCATAGTAATTTAATTAACGTTGAGCATAAAATGCCCCAACACCTCAAAACACACTGAAAAACAAGCTGTTTAACGTCAACAGGATCATTTGGATGCCTTCCTGTCCTATAAATAATGTTGTTTTTTTTTAAATTGTCCAAACAGTACCCGTGCAGTCGCAGCCTCTGACGGCAGAATTGATGCAGGGTATCACAAAATAATCAATACAAATCACAAGAAACAAGTAATACACATGATAGCACATATATTTTCTTCACAATTCTTATGGAACTGTCGCAAGGGTCTGTGCGGCTGCCATTCGGCGCCACAAGGTGACCTCAATACGACTTTCCCCAACCGAAGTTAGGTACCCATTCACACCTGGGTGGAGTGAGGAAAGTCGTGTAAAGTGCCTTTCCCAAGGGCACAACGTCGGGGCGCATGTTCAGACATGTCCCGGGTACGACTCGGGTTTGAACCCGGGTCTCCCGGTTCACAGTCGAATGATCTACCACTACCCCACCCGACGCCACAATGCAATGAGGTTTAGACCCCTGTTTTTGCATTGCATTCTGGGGATGGGAAACTGATGAATGGGCTGTTATGATTCCTGTCGGATGTACAAATGTAGTCTTTAAGACTAGTCGCATATATTACGTGCAGATTTATAATACGCATAATTAATCAGATTACCATGTATATGTAATTAGATTTACCACTATCTCATCAGATTCAATATTACTCAAATTAGATTGGCCATTATGTTGATTAGATTTTGCACTATGTAAATCGGATTTACCTTTATGTCAGTTAGATCACCATTATGTAAAATGGATATACCATTGTGCATATTACATTCATCATTATGTAAATTAGATATACCATTATGTAAAATAGATTTACCATTATGTAAAGTAGATTTAGCATTGTATAAAGTAGATTTAGCATTATGTAAAAATGTTGTAGCATTTTGTAAATTAGATTCATAATTATGTAGATTAGATTTACAATTGTGTAAATGAGATTAATTTTTATGTAAATTAGATTTAAGCATTATGTAAAGTATATGTACAGTTATGTAAGTTTGTTTGTTTGTTTTGTTTGTTTATCTATTTAACCAGGAAATACATTTCGCCTATTGGCGGTTTTCAAAGATTCCTGGGGGGAAAACCCCAACAAAACTACATGACATTATAATTATAACAAAAGATTAAAGATGAACTAACAAAGGTCAACTAAAAATAGATAAATTTATCTTGAACAAGACGAAATCTTAACTAACTCATCAACAATCAAATTAAATAAGGTAACATTAACAGTTATGTAAATTATATTTATGTTCGGAAGGAAAACATATTGTTTTTACTCAATTTCCTCTTCCTCTTCTTTTTCTCCAAACACTAACCTCTGACCTGGCCAATGACATGATTTGTTGACGTCTGTCACCATGGTGACTGGTGTTGGGTTACATAATGTTGCAAACTTCATGCTCTGCTCTGCTCCTGTCACCAAATACTAGTAGTAAATGTATGTGACTATGTTTGAGTAAAAATTAACAGAGCAGACCATGTCCGAAGGTAAACATTATGCTTTGCAAATGTTACTTCTCTAGTCATCATTATGTTAATTATTTTTTTCATGATCATTGACGTCAGGTGTAGTCTTGGCGACAACTGTAACTACCTGGACACCAGGGCTCACGACAGGCTGAGGCTGACCGCACACTGCGACATTCAACAGTCCCGCAATATTAATTATTGGAGAAGATCTTACGAGCTGGGACCGGAGCACTCCTTCTACTGGAGCCTGAAGCAAGCTCCGGACGAGTTCAGCGGCGTGGACTGGGAGAACGACACTCGGACAGGCCAATATCAGGAAGAACTGATCGTTAAGGACCACGTATTCACGGTAAGGCCACACCAACTAATTTCATGGATAACATTTATTTTTGCCTGTTCTCAACAACAACAAAAAAGATCACGTGCACGTCCTCTGAGGCTCTAGGCCTGGGTAGTTAGCGACAATACGGAGCCGGTGGTAACTCTAGCTCAGGGGGACGGCACCACGACTCAAGAACTCAGTACATACGTGCAGTGCCGATTTATAAATTCTGCAAAAAGCCAGCATGTGCCGGCTTGTCGTATACGTTGCTATGTACTGCCGCAAATTCAGGATACCAGCTTTGTACAGAGTATTCCTGTGGTTTAGTAGCATTTTTATTTTCGGCCGGATTTTTTTTATTCGCCCGCGCGCACTAGTGTGGGGGTCTTAAGAGAATGTCATCCATAAAATTAAGTTGGAGTGGCCTAAGAGCTTTCATTTCCTTTATGTGACTAGTGAACGATAATTAGTTGTTGCCATTCAATCGCTGCTGCTCTAATTGTCTCTACGACCCAAAGAAACTGACCTGCTGACGTATTACGCTTCCTCCAGGTACCAGGAGAGTACATCATCCGCCTGGACATCCTGACCAACGGCGTTCTCTGCGCCACCGGCAACTGCAGCTATGCGGAGTGGAAGTTCACCATCCCGGCTCCGCCTGCCAACGCGCGCCAACCCGTCTGTGCTGCAGACATACCGGTACCTCTCTCCTCAGGTAAGGGCTGCTTCTGACCGACATACCGGTACCTCTCTCCTCCGGTAAGGGCTGCTTCTGACCGACATACCGGTACCGCTCTCCTCAGGTAAGGACTTTTATGACCGACATACCGGTACCTCTCTCCACCGGTAAGGACTGTTTCTGACCGACATACCGGTAACTCTCTCCACCGGTAAGGGCTGCTTCTGACCGACATACCGGTACCTCTCTCTTCCGGTAAGGGCTGCTTCTGACCGACATACCGGTACCTCTCTCCTCCGGTAAGGGCTGTTTCTGACCGACATACCGGTACCTCTCTCCTCCGGTAAGGACTGTTTACTGACCGACATACCGGTACCTCTCTCCTCCGGTAAGGACTGTTTACTGACCGACATACCCGTACCTCTCTTCCACCGGAATTTTGCTCAGTTTCTTCTTCTCTCGTTCCAAACAAATAAAGTCAATGACCTGGGCCATACATCCGTTACCAGGGTAACAGGTTCTGCAGCAACAACCTGTAGTGTGGGGTTACATTATGTAGCATAACAGAGTTGGAGAGCCTGCTCACCATACATATGAATGAGGTAGAATAAACAGCTCACTAGTTTGTTAGGCCAGACCAGGTGAAGGTATATATTATGCATTTGTTTTTGGCGACGTCTCATGGTGGAGCCTAATGGTACAGTATTGTGTGCAGCTTGCAAGAATTCTAGGAATGGTACAGGCATTTTGTCCATTCTTGGAAACCCTTGGGAAGACCTCTCTGCCCGGATGGCCCTACTTTCTGTGACCCCGTGGCTCGTTCACTATACACTCAGGGGAGGAGTGCACTGTACCAAGTCTTCGACAAAATCATGAAATCATGGCAGTGTCATGCAAACAATAACCCTAACAGCAACCACCGTCACCATGGCAATGTAAGTTTTCATTGCCAGTCTGTTGCAAATGTTACCTAATTGATGAGTAAATCTCTGTTACTACTCCACAGTCGAGTGCAACCGAACGCTGCCGTACAGCGAGGTGGACCCGTCGTGGACCGGTGAGGGGTGTGAGTGCCGGGAAGTCTCCAACCTCTGCACCGTCGGCCCGACGGAGGGGATCGCGCTGACCACCAGATTTGATCTGAGCTGCCTAGGTATGTTCTTCTTTTTTTCCCTTTAGGCCACACCAAGTAAATCTTATGGATGACGTCCTTTGGAGACCCTAAATCTAATGCGAGAGGGCGAGAAAAAAACAAGAAGGGTCCTAAAAAACAAGATGCCTAGATTAGAAATATACTAAGAGATGAAAATGTTAGGACACAAATTGAATGAGGTGACACAGTGTAACAAGCAAGAAGTCTTTTATTCATCATCAAAACAACAATAAATCAGGTGGAACAGCAGTTGTCGTCCTGTCCTGTTTTCGCGTTACGGGTTTCACGTCAATCTGACGATTTGCGGCACTGTCGTGACTCTTTGGTCATAGTTACAGAATTTCTTTTTTTTTTCTAGCGCGCGGACGTCATCCATAAAATTTACTTGGTGTGGCCTTACGTGCAAACCTCAATTGGTTGAGGGCTCCAGCACGGTGGGGCTGGGGGTATTGGATGGGGTGGTCGCTCGTACAAGTAGTGTGTGTATGTTGTGGTCTACTGCTCCTCAATGGGCAGGGGCGCCACTCCCTGTCCGACACCGAAAGCAGGGTGGCGGTGAGTACCCGTAACTGTTGTTTATAACTACATGGTGCTGATGGCATGCTTTAAGGCCTGTAATGTCTTGGCTTTAACAATATTTTCTGGTGGACGGTTCCACTCTCTAAAGAAAAAGGAATTCAGGTGATAACCAAGTCGTGAAGCTGGTGGGTAAAATGCTAAACTATTCTCGAGGGGGAGAACAGTTTAGCATTGAGAGGGGGCACATTGTATCCAAAACCGTGCTATACCTGAATTGTTTAAAGTCCGAATCAGGCAAGGTTCTGGAAAGGTTTATGCGTATCCGATACGTAGATATGCCTCATGCAATACACGATTTTGGATAGGCGTGGACTATCCAGAATCCTGCCTGCATGATTATAGTTCTGGATAAAACATAGTTCTGCATCTCTTCTATATCCATGTTACGTTGGCTGTAATGTGGTTTTGGGATTAAAGCGCCCCTTTACAACGATTTACTGATTGATTTGATTTATTGAGATGCCCTTTAGCCCCATGAGGGGCTAATCTTCCAGGGCTCATTAACAGTACAACACATAAAATACAAGCACTGAATACATACAATCATTGCAATTACACGCAATTACTTTTCTAAACTCGACTCAGATGAGTACCCAGCTTTGGTTAGGGACGTCCTCCATTCGGATATCCCCTAGGATCAGACTATAAAATTATTTTTTAAACTGATGATATTGCATCTTATTGGTTGATATTGTAAATATTGTTAAGCTCATTTTACTCACTTATTTAGTTGTCTATATGTTAACTGTGAAATTCTCACTTATCTATAGTTGTCTATATGCAATATTTGTTTCTTTGTTTTTTACACTAGCATACAATTCAGCGCTACTTACTTAGTTGCGCTGCCACATGCTAGAGATTGTACCCATCGAGCAATCAATGAACAATTATTATTATATAGGATAACCTATTTGGGGAGAACCACGCCTCCAGAACGTAAAAAGATCCCAGCACACTAATCGAAAAGCTTGTATCTATGTCTTCTCGCTAGACTTTGAAGGAACTGGGGCTATTCGCTATGAGTACTACTACAGAACACGGGCCACGGCTACAGTCAGCACTCTGGTGACCTCCGCTGAGTCAGGGCACTACAACTTACTGTATCATGGAATGGTGAGTAGGTAATTTTTGTATCGAAGTAATATAATTGCAAATATCAATTTAACATTCTTCGGAACAGATGAAGAGTCCTAATGTTATAGGTGACCGAGAGGTGAGGTGCCATGACAATACACTATATGATCTGGATGTGACCATATTTGTTGAAACTGTGAGCTCGTTTGTTTCAATTAAAAATCATAATACATACATGTAGTTCATATGTTTATATGCATTTCTGTAGCCCTTGGGCGACACACAGTTGTGCAAGGCACTACAGCAGGGGGCTAGTCCGCTGGTAGTACTGTGTGTTTGACCTACCCACACTCTTTCTCGCATGTGCTGAGTGCTAAGCAGAGAAAGAAGTGTGTACCATTTTTGAAGTCTTTGGTATGACCCGGCTGGGGTTTGAACTCAAGACCTCCCGGTTACAAAGCGAGCACTCTACCAATTGAGCTATTGCACCGGATTCTTCTCATTACCTCCGGGGGAGGAGACATCCTTCCGCGGAAGGGTTTTGTGAGAGATTTAGATTTTCATGTTCGCAGCTGTTTCTCGCGTTTGGTTGGACGGATTTTTTTGGGACTCGGTGTATGTTTTGCTATTGGGCTGTAGATGATGCACCTTCTTTTGTTTTTATTGCATATGTGTTTTCGGGCGTGAAAATGGTGCCTTTTGGTGGCCCCAGAACACCCCTTTGAGCGTGAAAATGGTCGCGACCGTTGACCTTTGGCGTGTTTAAAATATTCTCGGTCTGGTCCACGTATATGACCCCTCGTACAGAGGGGTGTCTGGTCTCGATAAATTCTTTGTTTAAAACCCTAGTCCTGAGGCGCGCAACAATTGTTGTTGTGCACAAAATTCAACACCATCAACTATACATAACAAACAACATATAAACATATACAATAAAAAGCCCGGAGGTATAAAATCTCAGATTTTACTTGTTGAAACCTTTTCTTTTTAATTCTTTTTGATAGTCTCCGTCGCCGCGCCCCTTTAAACTGCCGTCTGGACTAGCGGCCGATGACTACAGGGTCTTCCTTCTCGTGAAGATGTCCGACCAGCGGGGGACGACAAAAACAAGTGAGCTAGAGCTGACGGTAAGGGTGATATTATTATGATCAGTTATTATTATGATAAGTTATGAGTTGAATTGTGAATAATTATTATGATCAGTGATTATTATGATTATGATTATCATTGTTATGATTATTGTTATTATTATGTTCAGTTATTATTATTATCAGTTATGAGTTGAATTATGAATAATTATTATGATTATTATGATTATGATTATTATTGTTATGATTATTGTCATTATTATGATCGGTTATTATTATGATTATGATTCTTATTGTTATTATTAATATTATTGCATAAAGAGGTCATAAAAACAATTGGATTTTAGGAGAACCCACTCGATAAACCCTTAGGTTTCTTGGGTTCTCCCGCACATTTGGTTGTACATATTCATTACATACTGTTTTTATTTGATGTGCAAACTGGTAATAAACAAAAACAAATAAATAAATAATTGCCCATGCTTATAACAGGTTCGGCTGCCTCCTTTCCAAGACCTTTTAACCGCCATCGACACCACCGATGCCGAAGTCCAGCGGGCCATCCGGTGGGGAGACAAGATGGAGGCGGTGCACCTGAGCACCATCACGGCCACAACTCTCAACAACATCCGCGCTGAGGGAAGTTATCAAGTAGAAGACTGGAGAGCGGTACGTGAGGTGTATAAGCAAGTTGACTATGATTATATATGACTACTTGATTTGCTTTTGTTTTCCTTGTTTTCTAGATCTTATGCTATGATATTTTCTTTGTGTTAATATTGGTTTCTTATGTTGTTCTTACTCATAATAACTTTTGATTTGACTAATGGAAATTTATTTTTTGTTCAATATGATATGTTCTTGATTGTCTAACTTTATTGTTTAGATATTTAATTCGCCGTGTTAACTTTATATTATCTTGTACCTATTTTGAGTTAATTTGTTTGCTTGTCCCTTAATACATTGCAAGTTAAATGTAAATGTAATAAAAGTATGTAAATAAGAGATCGTAAAATTAATAGGATTTGGGAGAGTCCACTAGACAAACCTTCAGGTTTCTTGGGCTCTCCAGCATATATTTGCTTGTATATAATTTCATTTTATACTGTTACTTTTTTATGTGCAAATTGACAATAAAACAATAAAACAAAACAATAAGACTATAAAGAGTGCTGACAAGTTGTTATGTCAACAGTGTGCAGAAAGTCCACTTACAATACTTATTTCTCTTGGTTGGAATTGGTTAGAAGAGCATTGACGATATACGGTGATGTATCAAAAGATAATAGTATGTTTGCTGACAATAACTTCGCGAAATTCATAATGACAACAAATCCAAAAACGACAAAGAACAAACTGCGCTCGTACAGATTATTCAAATATACTTATAATGAAGAACATTATCTTAAAACCCAAACAGAAGTCAAAGAACCACCAAACTACGAATCAGCTGTCATAAACTCAGCATCGAAACAGGAAGGCACAACCGCACACCTCTGGAGCAAAGAATTTGCCAATTTTGTAACTCAAACAAAGTAGAAGACGAAGCCCACTTTGTTATTGATTGTAGTTTATATAGTAATGAAAGAAATGATCTTTTTACATATATTACTTAGTACGTTTCCATACTTCCAATACTTGCCTAATATTGAAAAAATTATCTTTCTTATGCGCTTTGATCATCCTGTACTATACAAACCCATCTCAAATTATATTTTTAACATCACAAAGAAACGAGAAGAAGCCGAACCTCTGTATTAGAGTAGTTTTAGAGCTGTTTGTACTACAAACTTGTATATTACCCATTTCATCTGTTCACCTGTACTTAGGTCGATAGGGCATGAATGTACAATAAAGGTTATTATTATTTTTATAATTGACAGGCACGACAGGCGATCATCTCTAACGTGGGGAGACTCCCGATCGAGAGTGTGGAGTCCGTCATCCAGTCATCCGAGTCTCTCATTCAGGCCACGCACTATGACGACGAGGTCACCGCAGACGCACAGGTACTCCACCTGATTTTTTTTTTAAATTTCAAGTTTATTTACATGTAAATAAAGTTGATGTAAAGTAAAATTCTATGTAAAAATGGCCATGGGAAACAGGCCTAAGATGCTAGGAATCTATACATTACAATAATAATAATTTGACGTCATACTCATTAAATATTCATGTTGTGAGTCAACCCCATTCAAGGCGACCACCTGCCCAATGCGACCACTTTTCTCCGGTCCCGTGGGTGGTCGGCTTGGGCAGGTTTGACTGTATATCAGTATTACTTTACATTATTCCATCGCCAATCTTACTGTAAGACATGTCGATAGTACCATTTGTAGATGCATGATGGCTGCCTTAGATAAGACCGGTAGAAGGGACGTCGTCGGTCTAATAAATAAAGTACCACCCCAAGCACGTTAAAAGAACCCACTCCACATTGGAAGTCGGGTTGAATTCAAACCCTGGAATCTGAATTCTTGAATTTGAACTCTCCAATCCGAAGTCTCAACTTTCGGGAGGTAGTTCATCCCTTGGCCGGGAAAGCAAGTCACAGCAATATGATACGATAACAATGGCCTGCAGACCGATTTCACCTCGTTGTGAATAAGCAAACAACAATTGTCGTACGTTTTGCCGACAGGTCAGTGCCGCTGGACAACTTCTCAACATGGCAAAATTTATGACAAGAAAAATTGTCGAAAAAAACATGACGCAAGAAAAGGTGGAGAGAGTAGCTGGTATCGTCATGACAGGTTAGCAGGACAAATCTTTCATTATTATAAGGCCACAGCAAGTAATTTGTATGGATGGCATCAGCGCGCGCATTAATTTTCGCCTGATTTTAGAAAAAAAAATTCTTTTTGCCTTCTGACAGTGGTCACCATGCCGAAAATGGGCAAAGATGTCTGTTGCTATGCTGGAAATGATGGCAGATAACTATGAAGAGAGGACACAAGAAAAGGCTCTGATTTAATGTTTTGTTTCTTACTTTGATGCAGTGATATGTGATGCAGTGATATGCGATGTTCCCACTGAATCCAAACCATTTGTACAATGATTGAGTCAAAATTCTAAAATGCAGGAACCTTGTTTTTCTTTCGGCCCGACTTGTTTTTTTTTCACCGCTCGCATTAGATTTGGAGTCTGCGGAGGATTTCTTCCTTAAAATTTACTTGCTGTGGCCTAATTTGTGATGCTCAGATCTTGACATCGCCGACTTGCATACGATTTTCTAAGCAAGTTACTTGAGTAGCTTTTTTCTTGTGTACCTCATTGCCTGGAGGTATATAACCTTCATCGAGGTATCGGTATCTAAGAATTGATTTTTAATACTGAAAAAAATTAATGTGTGACAACATTCCTTGGGCAAATCACTTTACAAAATGAGTTTTTTTAAGTTACAAGAGAAGCTACTCTATTTCAAGTTATCGGCATGATCAAAGCATACCATGGAAAGGTAATTTCTCTTTATGCATGCTTTTTTCTCTACCTTGTAGGTGCCTTCAATGTCTTCAAATGTTCTGAAGTTGTTGCAAGATGGAAACACGATGGAATCGGACCACCTGACGATACAGATTCGACCAGGTCAACTTTGCTCAAGGTAAGAAAGTGGTCCATGTTTGTAATCATCAGGGGTGCCAGAGTATACAGTCCATTTCTTTACGGAATAAAGTGCAATTTTATTAGTATACAGTGCAATCGTAGTAGAATACAGTGCAATTTTACGGAATGCAGTGCAATCGTATTAGAATACAGTGCAATCGTATTGGTATACAGTGCAATTTTACGGAACACAGTGCAATCGTATTAGAATACAGTGCAATTTTACGAAATACAGTGCAATTTTACTAGTGACGCAGAATCACGTGGCATAGGCCCGGCTTTCCAGGGACGCCGCTGACAGAGCGTACTCACATCTTTCCGTGTTTTTCGAGCGAATTTGGACCGTTCTCGTAGATAGACCTTTAGTCAAATCACTACATACTACACACAGACATGTCATGTTACTGCACAGGAATCGTTTCAAATTCGCTTGAAAAAGACAGAAAAATGTGAGTCAGCGGCGTCCGCCATCTTGAAACTCAAGGGAAAGCAGGGAAAGTCGGGTCCAAGTCACGTGCTTCAACGTCACTAGTTAAATTGTACTGTATTCCGTAAAATTGCACTGTATTCTAATACTATTGCACTGTATTCCGTAAAATTGCACTGTACACTAATACCATTGCACTGTATACGTATTCCGTAGAATTGCACTGTATATAGTAAAATTGCACTGTATTCCTTAAAATTGCACAGTATTCTTATAAGATTGCACTGTATACCACAAAATTGCACTGTATACTAGTAAAATTGCACTGCATTCTGTAAAATTGCACTGTATACTAGTAAAATTGCACTGCATTCTGTAAAATTGCACTGTATTCTAATACGATTGCACTGTATTCCCTAAAATTGCACTGTATACTAGTAAAATTGCACTGTATTCCGTAAAATTGCACCGTATACTCTGACACCCCTGATCATTCTCTTGTGTACGTTGTAACAAGGATATGTAACTATAGGTACTATGGGTAGCATAGGCTGATACAGCATGTCGTATGATGGTACTGCGCCTGTGTGAAACGCGGATTCTTCACAGTTTTTTTACTGGATGCAGGCAATATCTTTTTGGACACAAAATTTGAAAACTATACACAGGATATCATCCCGAAATGTGCGAGTACGATCTTAAACAATACGTTCTGACCAAGTGCTGTACATAATCCATCGGAGTTTCTACCCTGACAAAAAGCGAGAAGTTGAATTTATATAACGATAGTTAGTTAATTTTGTATCTGTTAACCGGGTCCATTCATATTGTTTTGTTTGACCTCTACTTAGCCAAGTGTGGCACAAATGTGCAATTCATTATTAGGCGTTTCCAAAAAAATTTTTTTTGAACCATACTGTAAATTCTACAAAACAGTTGCAAAATGAGCAAATATATACCGTAAGTTGAAGAAAAAACATTGGAAAACGATACCAATGTCGTACAATGAAACGACAAAGACGAAATCAAACGACAAAGACGAAAATGTAAAGAAATGAATTTGAAGACCATATTATTCGCCAAACCATACTCGTTCAAAACCACGTAGATTTCATAATAAAAGCATTTTTTTAAAAACTCATTCGCACGCGCGCATCAGTTTTGCTGTTCCCAGAGGATGTCATCCATATAATCCAACCAACATGGCCTTAGAAAGCAAAACGTAATTTGATCTTCGTTGTTCGGCTGCAGAATCGTAACGCCACAACCACAGCTTTTGAAGCCATAAATGAGCTGACTGACGGGATTCTAAGGGGAAAGTCGAAGGTCGAAGTCGTCACTATGATATCATCACAAGACTTCCAGGTACAAACTATCATTATGATTGTAAAAAAGTTCTATATTATCATGAAAGTTCATCTGTGTTAGTAGTTACACGTTTAACCCTATCTAGACCGGGCTTTTTTGGGCTTGGTGGGACGGGAGGGGGGGATAGGAGCTCATTCGACCCCCCCTCAGAACTCGCGGACGGTATGTTGTATGACCACCAAATTTTCAGAGGATGGTGTACTAGTAAAAATTTATTATAAGTACAATTTTTTTGTCGTTATGACGTAATATGATGTCATTATGACCGAATATGACGTCATTAATGTGATTTTATTGGCCAAAACCGTCTAGATAGGTTATTCCCTGAAAACTACATGGTATACAACATAACTTTACCAAAAGTGTTTATGACAGAATATTAGGGTGTACTAAGTCTTATGTTGCCCATAGCAACACCGGTGACGTCATAGAATGACGTCATGCATATTTAAGCTATCCGCCATTTTGGATCACCAATGTTGGATTTTCAAAAATAGATTTTTTTTCAGACTAAAGACATTCATTTGAACTTTTTTTGTAAAAAGAAATGGAAGTATTGATGAAATTTTAAGGAAAATAACCTGTATATACCTAATGATATGGTCCGCCATCTTGGATTTCGGCCAATGACGTCATCAAATTAGCATAAATCATGCATCTCTAAAATTTACATAAAATTACATGGGATGTTATTAATTTTTCATTCTTTCTTTATTTCAGGTAAAAAAAAAACATATAACACATGTGAAATACATCATTAAAATAATACAAAAACTCTACAGACATACAAGTAAAACAGGAAGAAACCTAAAAGCATAATAAATGGTAGGTCTTCCGGAAGAGTGAATTCCTGTAAAAGGCATCGGAATGTATTAAGCGAAGGATTATTGCGTTGTTGGAGGAAAATAACCTTTTTAGAAAAGAATAACAAATTCTCCTCCTCCTGGTTTCAAAAGTGTCAATATAGTGACAGACCGAGGCAGATTCATAATGATTTTAAAACAATTGTTATAAGCCACTTAGATATTAGAAACCATGTTTAATTTGACATGAAACCCATAAAATTCTATTGTTGAAACTAAAATTACTAAATTTAGCAAAAAATGCCTATCTCAGAAACCCGTTGCCATGACGACAGAAAAAAATTATTATCTTATTCCAATGATACAGAATTGTTGCCAACAAGGAAAAGTCACCAAGTTTGGCCGTTCTATATGGTTAAAGTTAAAACTTTTGTTCTAACACAAAAAGGTCAATGTGTGGAACAAAAGTTTTGGCCTATGGCCTAGACCTTTCGACCAGTCACTCTGATCTTCCTTAAGTTAGTAGACTGACCCCGTGAGACTAGTCACGTGGCTTCTCTGAATTGAAGCGTCAACACTGGGTCAAAGGTATCTGGTAAACGATGTCGGCCCCCGTCGCGGTTGAGTGAAGGGGGATGGACCAGTGTTGAAACAGCTGACACTCTTCAGAGAAGCCACGTGACTTGTCTCACTGGGTTAGTCTACTGAGGAAGATCAGACTAACTGGCCGAAGGATCTAGATGATAACATTGTTAAATTTACCTTTTGCGTTGGCACAAAAGTTTTAATTTTAGGCTACAGCAAGTACTTTTTGTGGATGACATCAGCGCACACATTGATTTTCGCCTGATTTTGGAAAGAAAACAAGAAACTTTGTTGCCTTCTGACAGTGGTCAATATGCCGAAAATGGGCAAAGATGTCTGTTGCCATGCCGGAAGGTGGATGGCAGATAACTATGAAGAGAGGAGACAAGAAAATGCCCTGATTCAATGTTTGTTTGTTTGTTTGTTTGTTTTTATTTGTTTACCCAGGGTGTACATATCGCCACTAAGGCGTTTTTCAATGTGCCCTGCAGGCATACATAAATAAAATATACAAGAAAATAACAGAGATAACAAAATGATAAGTCAACTTATATGTACAAATTAAAGTCAACTTAGTACAAATAAAAGTAAAAGTACTATATAATGCCGCAACTCAGTAAAGTGGTAATAAAACAAATTTGTCAAACCAAGAGCCACAACTCATAGTAATAAAGGCAATAATACAAAAAACAAATCAAGGCAATAACAAAGGAATATAACAAAGGAATTTGCATATCAATGCTGTTTGATAACAAGTTATGATGTGGCAACACACTCCTGGTTGTAAAGGCGCTTAAAGGAAGAAACAGAATCTGCTCTTTTTAAATGAGGTGGGAGTGAGTTCCATAATGTGGCACCAGTACAAGAGAGGAATTTCTTTTTATATTGAAGTTGAGCTTTTAGCAGTTGTAGCCCACCCTGTGATCTAAGGCGTGTATTGTGTGTGTGCACCTTCCTTAGCTGTGTGAACAGACCTGAGATGTGGGGAGGGGACATGTTGAGTAGGGCCTTGTAAGGGTTTTGTTTCTTACTTTGATGCAGTGATATGTGATGATTGCTGTGTATATGCGATGTTCCCACTGAATCAAAACTATTTATACAAAGATTAAGTCAAAATTTTAAATTTTAGGAACCTTGATTTTTTTCGGCCTGGCTTGTTTTTTTTTTTTTTCACTCCGCCGATTCGGAGTCTGTCGAGGATGTCATCCCTACAATTTACGTGCTTTGGCCTATGCCAAAGTTCAACTGTTGTTTTTTTCCATGGTCTGTAGGTGGTGGTGAACAGGACTGACTGTCGGTCGTGGTTCAACTATGAAAATCACACCGTCCATTTTACCAGCTTTGAAGACGGGACCTGGTTCAGACTACCCCCATTACCAGTCATCGTGAAGGCATACGCTCGTTCAGTGATGGTACGCTTTTATTGAAGGAATAGTTTATTTCTGATACAATACATCCCAGGCAGACATAGCCTCGCACGAAAAAAGCCTTTGACTAAAAAAAGGCTACTTCATACTTGCATTAGTTGGCCTGTCAGGTAAAGCACCGGTTAAACCAAAAAGCAGTTACTCAAGCTACTGGATATGATTTTGGAAACGGTCAGACGTTTCAGCTAGTATCCACTAGCTTTCGTCAGTGACTGAGCAGTATCCACTACCTTTCGCTGGTCACTGACGAAAGGTAGTGGATACAAAAAAAAAAAAATGACATTTCACTTTCTATCTTGTTTTGTAGCAGAGGCCTTACTAAGATTGCATTCACATTAGACCATTCCTGATCGAACACGTCGAACCCCCTGTTCTATTGAGTCTGTTAGAAAATGCTGGAATTCAACAATAGGCTACACTATTTTACCACATAAATCATACATCTACATATTTATTATGTTTACCGAAGGAAAACATATTTTTTACTCAGTTTCTTTCCCTTCTTCTTCTTCTCCAAACAGTGACCTCTGACCTGACCAATGACATGATTTGTTTACGTCTGTCACCATAGTGACTGGTGTTGGGTTACATAATGTTGCAATTTCATTGTCTACTCTGCTCCTGTCACCATATACTAGTAGTACATGTATGTGAATGTGTTTGAGTAAGAATTAACAGAGTAGACCATGTCCGAAGGTAAACATTATGCATTTGCTTTGCAATTGTTACTTCTCTAGTTCATTCACATTTTCTCTTACTTCAACAAATTAATTTCTACACCCATAGAGGATTACCGGTGACATTAGTAAGCCTCGACTGGAGTCAATAGCGAGGAACGATTTCTGCGCCTTCAATGGCACACAGGTGGGATGGAAATATTTTTTGTGATAATAATTTGTGATATCAACCATACTTTAAGGTATGTAGCATTACTGGTAACACTGTTGTTAGATGTGATGTCTGAAATTGTCAGCAGTTGTTATGAGCATAATGCTGTATGGGTATACTTCCTATACATATTTTTTAACTGGTTCACATAATTGTGGCCACAGCCCACCATTCCGAGCTCCCATTATAATATATGGTAATCTAAGAAATAAGCTACCAAAAAGCATCTACTTGAGTGTTTGACTATAATCACAAAACATAGCAACATAGCATCACTTCTAGAGCTCTACCCAGCATAAAAACAAGCCTAATTTTTTTTCAAGAAAACAAAAAAGCCCCTCCCCCAGCTTTGAAATGCAAGGAATTAGCAAGATATGCCAAGAATAAGGCTGGATGCTATCATCAAAATGGGCATGCTGGGCCTACGCAAAATATATATAGTGACCTTTGCCCTGATTGTGAATTCCTCAGGTTTTCCACAGTCGCTGGAGGAACCCTTTCGAGTACGCCACCAACTTCAGCCGCCGGGACCTGAAGATCGGGATAGGGGGGCTGCACTTCACCGACGCCTTGGAGAGGAAGGGGATCTCCGGTCTTGAGGAGCCCGTGGAGTTTTCTATCCTGAGGCACAACCAGTCTGTGGCAGCGGTAGAGTTTGATGACGTTACAGTTGACGGGGAAATTGTGGTAAACACTCTGTTATGTTGATCGGTTTGTTTGGGTCTTTCGGTAATGCTTATAGTCCGGCATAGCTGAATATTGTGCAATTTTGTCTGAAAGAACCAAATTTGGCACTCATGTAGTTGCATGTATTCTGAAAGCTGGTTATATATGGTAGCTGAATCTGAATAACACTATAGTCCAAGCTAAGCATTTGGTGCCAAACTACGCTTATGCTTAATTTCATGTCATTTGATTTTCGTATTAGCGCAAAGGAGCCAAAACTGGACATTTTTGGTAAAAAAATTGCAAGAAAAGTCCCATTTTACATAATTCTAAAGTGACAAACGCCAGAAGCATAATTAACATTCTGTGGGCTTGTATCAAAGGATCTCCCATACTAAATTTCAGGTCATATTTTCCCAAATATATTGTTGACTGAGTCCTAGGTACTAGTACACCGAATTTCAACTCATTTGATTTTTGAATGCCAGGGAACGAGAGACCAAAATGGAATTTAATGAAATTCTTCGGGCATATCTCCAACTTTGAAAGTTTACTAAAAGTACCTTTTTTTTCCTTTCAGTACGTCCCATTTAAGTACAACACCTCCACCGACCCGGCAGACATATACATCTTCCTGGATCCCCGGGATCCACTGGTGCCTCCAACCTTCACCCTGTACCTGGCGTACGGCATCAAACCTAACGCCTCTCAGTTCGACCTGACTACCACACTTCCCGTTCCTGCTAACATGAGGTATGGTCATATACATACAGAATGTTTACCTCCATGAAAAATGGAGGTATTGTTTTTGGTGTGCCCGTGTGTGTGTGTGTGTGTGTCTGTGTGTGTTTGTGTTTCCGCACATTTGTGACCAGCAAATGATGGATTGTAATGATATTTGGTATGTGGGTAGATGTTGGGTAAGCAAAGGTCAAAGTTAATTTTGGGCCTCCTGGTGGCTGACCTTGGTACTGCAGCACCCCAGGTGGTACCGATATGTGAAATTTGGGGCTCTGGCCCATGGACTAGAATGTTTCTTTTGTTCTCCCAGCTATTCGCTTGATCTGGATGAAAACGTCACCGTGACGTCAGACTCGTACAGCTGGCGGGTGCGTCTCAGTGACGTAGAACCGGTCACGTGGGACGGCAACAACACCAACTGGTACCTCGGTGGGAGGATGATGCTTTTTATTCCTTTTAGTTATATTCTATTCCATTTAGTTTTAGTCCATTTTGTAAGGCCACAGGTAAAGTTTATGGATGACATCCTCCGCAGATACCAAATCCAATGCGGGCGAAAAAAAAAAAACAAGGCGGGCCGAAAAAAAACAAGGTTCTTACAATTTAAAATTTTGACTCAAATAATTGTACAAATGGTTTTGATTCAGTAGGAACATCACATATACACAGCCAGCATCACATATCACTGCATCAAAGTAAGAACCAAACATTAAATCAGAGCCTTTTCTTGTCTCCTCTCTTCATAGTTATCTGCCATCCACGTTCCGGCATGGCAACAGACATCTTTGCCCATTTTCGGCATGTTGACCATTGTCAGAGGGCAACAAAATTTCTTGCCCAAAATCCGGCGAAAGTAAATACGCGCGCTGATGTCATCCATAGAAATTACTTGCTGTGGCCTTAGCATAACCAATTTAAAAAGTCGTTGTCCTTTTGATATTTATTTAGTTTATCTCTGTGTACAGATGCTTCGTTTTCTGTAATTGTATGCTTGCTTGCTTGTGTGTCCTGGTCATTCTAATGATTGTATCAGAGAAAGTGAGAATGTGGTAACAGCAGATTGACAGGAAGGTCAAAATGGAGGTCAAAATGGACTCTCCGCAGACTGGTTGGTAGTAAAAGTGGAAAACGCACAGAAGCAGAAAGAACTTCACAATAATGAGCAAAACAAGATTCATTGCTCACTACAGTTCTGACTTCCCTTGCTCTTGGTCCACATCTTGTGGGTTTGCCCCCTGTACAGCTTTTTTAAAGACCTCATTAGTATTATTACTAGTTTTTAATATTATTACAATTGTATATAATGGTTATATACACAAGACGTGGACCAAGAGCAAGGGAAGTCAGAACTGTAGTGAGCAATGAATCTTGTTTTGCTCATCTCTTTTCTCTTCTCTCATATTTCATGGAAGTGTATTGTATTGTATTTTTATGAATAATGTATGTTATTGTAGTAATTTTTATTTCATGTCAACAATTGTTCCGAATTGTAATTTGTATTGTACTGTATTTATATTGTTGTTTGGGAGGACAACTTGTAAAGGTGTCAATACACCTGTTTTGTCCTCCCTTCCACTTGTATGTTTGTACTTGCGTTGAGTTCTAATAGATAAATAAATAAAAGATATTCACAACATCTCTAAGCACTTCACTCTATCTTCGATTTCTTATTTTCGAAGGAATTGAGCTTACGGGTGCAGATGGCACCGAGAGGGGAGGTCATCCAGCAGTGTCGCTCGGAGTCTTCATTGAACCTGTAGAATGTGTTTTCTTCAACGAGGATGGCCATTTCTGGGACAGGGATGGTTGTGAGGTAGGACGCATCGCTTTTCTTTGTTTAGGCCACACCGCCTTAATCTTATGGATGACATCATTTGAAGACCCCCAAACTAGTGCGCGCGGGCGAATAAAAATAAATTCCGGCCAAAAACAAAACTGCTACTAAAGCACGGGAATACAAAGCTGGTATTGTGAATTTGCGGCAGTACATAGCGTCGTATACGACAAGCTGGCACATGGTAGCTTTTCTCGGAATTTATTAATGGGCATTGTACGTATGTACTGAGTTTTTGAGTCATGGAGCTTCAGTAGCCTGGGTGTCTGGCTCCATATTATCGCTAACTACCATGGACTACCCAGGCCTACAGCCAGGCCAGAGCCTCGGAGGACGTGATCTTTTTTTTAAGAACAGGCGAAAATTAAAGCGCGCGCGGATGTCATCCATAAAATTAAGTCGGTGTGGCCTTACCGTCGTTCGGAGAAGGAGAACAAATTGTTTTGTTTGTTTCATATTTTTCTTCTTCAACAAATAAGGTCTTTGTGACCTAGGCCAGGCAGCTGTCACCAATGTCACATGATTCCCTTTCAGCACCAGTAATCAGGTTGAGATCAGTCTTATTCTTTTCGTACAGGATTTGAAACAGAACAAAAACAATATATTTTCCTTCTGCGAACTCAAGGTACATGTAAATATCAATAAAGTTTAGCGTAATGTAGAACGTACGTGTAGAGTTGAATTATTTTCTAGCCAGTAGTTCTTTATAACACTCTGTCAGACACAGTAACCGTTGACCATATATGTAGCATTATGATAGACTCATACCAACTAGTAAATTTATTATTTGCCATACATTGTATCCGTGACAATCGGTGTGCAATAAACTTTGACTATAAGACTTTATTCAAATTGGTTTATTGCACAAAGGCATATTGCAGCCTGAATTGCATGCTCAGTTACAATCTGTCAACGGAATAATACACTTTGACTAAATTTTTAAAACAAGTAGAATTCTAAAATCATTCCAATTGCAGCAGTGTGCAACAAATCTAAAATCACACTAAAAGTAGTATTTCAATACTTTAGTTTTATGGACTGCTAGCCTCTACCAGGCTAGCTTGGGGAGGCGGCTAGACAGAGTAGAAATCGGCCAAATAGAGAGAAAAGCATGCCAAGGGAGTTTGTCCGTTGAGAGAACATTTGGCCGATTTCTACCCTTTCCAGCCGCCTCCCCAAGCCTGGTAGAGGCTATCGCCTGCCCCTTTGTTGATATGTGGAATTCCGCAGGTTGGACCCCTGACAAGTCGGACCCACCTCCATTGCCGCTGTGATCATCTGACCAAGTTTTCTGGCCTGGTGGCTCCGAACGAGATCAACTTCGAGCGGGCGCTGAAAGGTTTCCTCCTGCTGAAGAACCTCATCCAGAACCCGGTGGGCATCATGACGTGCTGCGTGCTGTTCTCCTTCTACATCGCCCTGTGTGTGCCCTGGACACGGAAAAACGACGCCAAGGACCTCGGGAAGGTACTTCTGTGGTTCGTCATTATTGAATGAAAGCCCTTTATTGTACGTTTGTGCTAAGTACAGGTCATGAATAAACAGGGGAAAAAGAATACAGCAATGACACTTACATGGTCACAACCCGCCGTACGCGTTTTTTGTCCGTACGTTTTTTGGGAGGCTAAGTCTGCTACGTTTTTTTCTGAAAACGTGGGGAAAGAGTGCCGTCCGCACGTAGAAAAAGTTTCACATGCACTTAAAGTTCTATGGCGTGTCTGCGTGCTCCCAAATCCGTAGGATTCCGTACGGAAGCGGTACTCCCCACGCACGGATGCCCACGTTTTTGCACGTAGACAGCACGCAGAAAGACGCACGTACGGCGGGTTGTGACCGTGGCTATACATACTAATGTGATCTACTATTTACAGGTTCAACTTCTTCTCGCTTCTTGACGCAGTTAAAGATGTTCGAACATATTGAGTTAATGATACATGGTTTGTCAAGTTTCATGAGGAATTCGAATTCTTCTGTTCTGTTTAAATGTTCCAGGTCACCACAGCAGCAATCTTCGATGACACAGAAGATCCTAAACCTCGTTACTACATGAGGGTCTTCACCGGACCGAGAGTTAATGCCGGGACAACAGCAAAGGTGGGTCAAATAAATGTGTTTGAATTAGAACTAGAGCTCCACGATCTCATACCTTCGCCAAATGATGTTAGCCTTTATGACTAAGAAATTATAGATTACCGGTAATCCCCCTGATTGTGCAAATAGGATCCCCAATTGCATGAATTCGAATTATATATGTTGATCATATTCTACACCAAAAGACAGTCTTATCATAACAAAGAATGCCATTATAGCATTCCCTTATAAATTATGCAAATGAGTCCCTTATTTGAATAAGTTATGTCTAAGGATGTTCACCTTCACTTAACTTTCAAATGCCCAAGTATGAAATTCCAGGCAGTTACCACAATGTAATTATATCATTTTCTCATTATGTATGCAAATTAAGTCTCCATTTGCATAATTGATACCATTAGGTTGTTAGGCTGGACCATGTGAACATTATGCATTTGCTTTTCAAATGTTTGGCCACACTGATTTAATTTTATGCATGGGTGACATCCACGCGCGCATTAATTTTCGCCCGCCCCCCCATCGAGGCTCTGGCCTAGTGCCATCTTCCGTAGTCCATGGTAGCCAGCAAAGACAGGAAGCCGTCGGTAACTACGGAGGACGGCGCTTAGGCTACTGAGGCTCCATGGAACTCAAAAACTCAGTACAGTGCCGACTCATATATGCTGCAAAAGGCCAGCATGTGTCGGCTTGTCGTGCAAGTCGCTATGTACTCGTACTACCGCAATTTCACAATACTAGCTTCGTTTCCCTGTGGTTTAGTAGCATTTCTTTTATTTTGGCTGAACTTTTTTTTAATTCACCCGCGCGCACTAGTTTGGGGGTCCTAGGAGGATAGACTTGATTATTTAGTACATGTATTTAGTAGGCATAATTAGTTGTGGTGGAAAAACGTTTTAGGCCAAAAATTGTGTGAAACCTTATTTTGTACCAATGGTTTTTTAAGGGTGCTAGCACATTTTTTACGTCTTGGTAAAATATCTGCATGACAGACCTTTTGGTAAAAAAAGGGTTAGAGGGGGTGCTATCACATTTTTTACCAATAGGTGAGTATGATAAATTTAATGATATGGTAAATATTTTTGTTTGTTTGCAATCTTTAGCACATGTCAATGCAGTTAGCACGCTTTTCCAAGACAACTTCTTTTTGGTAGCAAATAAATGGGATTAATAACCGAAGCTAGGAGGATGGCATCCGTAAAATTAAGTCAGTGTATCTTTCAAGGGTACAATTCATTTTCTCCTTCGCCCGCAGGTTTCCGTCATGCTGCACGGAGCGACCCGTGAGTGCGGCCCGTTCCTCCTGCACCAGCCCTACTCCGCCATGTTTGAGCGGGGGAACGTGGCCGGGTTTGTTCTGTGCACCCAGACCGACCCGGGCTGGCTCACCCACGTGCGCGTGTGGCACGACAACTCCGGCAAGGAGCCATCCTGGTAAAATCTTCTGAAATATATGGTCAACTGGCAACGTGCCGTTCTGTGTAACACAGGAAGTAATTTTTATGGATGACATCAGCGCGCCTAAGTTTTCGCCTGATTTAAAAAAAAACAACAACACTATGTCACTATGTCGAAAATGGGCAAATATGTCTGTTACCATGCCGGAAGGGGGATGGCAGATAACTATGAAGAGAGGAGACAAGAAAAGGCTCTGATTCAATGTTTTGTTTCTTACTTTGATGCAGTGATATGTGACACTGGCTGTGTATATGTGATGTTCCTACTGAATCAAAACCATTTGTACAATGATTGAGTCAAAATTTCAAATTGTAGGAACCTTATTTTTTTTCGGCCCGCCTTGTTTTTTGTTCACCCGCTCGCATTAGATTCGGAGTTTGTGGAGGATGTCATTCATAAGATTTTCTTGCTGTGGCCTGAGGGAAACGTGTTTGGAAAAGCAAAACACATCACAGTGCTACCATACATAGGACACATTAGACAGTAAAGATGCTAAAGACGAGAGAGTGACCAGTGTTCTATATTTTACAATCACAGGTTTCTGGACAGGATCATTGTGGACGATCTACTGCTCGAAGAGCAGCACTATTTCCTCTGCAACAGGTAGGCAAAGATTATGCCTCAATTCTGCAAACAGACTTTAAATGTGCCAAAATTTAAATCTTCTTGTAACCTTGCTGTGATGGCCGAATTAGGGAGATATCCAATGAGGTTAGAAGCGTCACTAAACGCCATCAAACACTACCTCAGAATACGCCAGAACGTGCCAGCTGACAGTCTCTCTGCAGACGCCCTTTTGTGCCAATTTGATTTAGATGCGATAGGTGCCAAATGCTGGGCTGCTGGTGTTCGTAAGACATTAGAGGAAAGCGGTTTTGCCTATGTTTGGCATTCGTCCTTGTCTTCTACCTTCAATTTGCTCCAAATTATATCTTCCATCAATTAACGTCTTAAGGACATGTATCTCCAATCTTTTATATCAGTAATGAGGAACAACAACAAATTACGGACATACAGATTATTAAAAAAATACTTACCACGAGGAAATATATCTGAAAATTACAAACATTCGACACAGAACAGCCATCACAAAACTCCGGATAAGTTTAGACAAACTCCACATAGAAACATCCATAGAAACATGCAAGGAGGGTATTGAAGACGAATTCCACTTTATGATGTCTTGTCCAACATATGAAGAAAACAGACAAAAGTTGATGCAATCCATAGCTTCCAAAACTAATGTTACGCTACCCCACTCAAAATCAGATATCTTCAATATGTTCCTTTCATATCCTACTCAGATATCAGTGTACGTGTAAATTCATATCTGAATCATTACAAAAGCGACACCATATTGTAACTAACTGATATATCTCCTTAATTACATAATGTAATAATACTCTTCTTAAGAAAACACAATAGATTAGCTTTTTCATCATTATGGACTAGCTCGTTAGAATTATATTTTAGTATTAGTTTGTGTATGTACCCTTGTCGTTTCTTTGCCATACATTGTACCAGCTACAGTTGTTGAGCAATGAAGTTGTTTTTATTTGATTTGTGTTAAAACACAGTAAATAAACACTATATTATACAATATAGACAATAACAGATGATTTCAGAAGCAAAGTTTACAAAGAATTCGAACCACCTTAACGTATAAAGTAGATTGGATTCATTCCTCAAGCTAGCTGACATCTAGCAAACGGCAGCCGCCCCTCGGTAAGACATCTAGGGCCACATAGTTCCCGTTTAGAACTTCAGTTCTGCTCCAGATGAGGGGCGCGTGCGATTGGAGCTTTAAGCTGTATTATATAACATTAGTACGATACAAAAGTCATTGTTTGGTCATTTCTTAAAGTTGAATCAACCCTATAGGTCAGTGCCATTCAGAAAGTGGAGATGCCAAAATATGACGCCATACCGTACGAGTGTGTTTAAAAGTTGGGAATACAGCTGTCAGCCATGTTTGTTTACATTCTGGCAATTTGTGGTGGCATCAAAAACTGAGTGCGCCTCGTGTGGGCTGTTTTAGCACCAACTATACATGTCAGAAATGTGAGATAATTGCGAAATTATGTCCAAAACTGGAAGTAAGTTACAATCACACGCAGATTTTAAGATGTTTCAATTTTTGGTGAAAAATGTTACATAATGCACCATTATGGAGTGAATCCATCCTACTTTATACTGTATCACAATTATCTGAACGTGAGTATTAGAATCAATGCTCTAAAGTGGCACCAGCTTCAATTTTTTTCTACCAACTCCAGGTGGTTGGCCTTTGATGAGGACGATGAGCAAATTCAGCGCGTGTTGCCTGCAGCTAAGGACGAGCAGCTGGTGGCCTTCAGTACTCTGTTCGCCGATAGAACTACAAGGTAAGCAGGGGTTTTTCTAAAAAAATTTAGCATGAGGGAGCAGATTGCAAGCATGGTGAGGGAGCAAAGCGGCCGAGGGGGAATTTTTTATGAGAGTAACACAGTTTGTAATGCTAGAATTCATTGTTGTATTGTTTTTACATCTTTACTAGAAAAAGATCATTTTGAGAAAGACTAAATAGTGTGTAAGTAGGGTTCAATCTGAAAGTTGATATGAGGAAACTAGCTGGTTACATGAGGGAGTAGTGCCCTTATTCCCCTGTTTAGAAAAACCCTTGTTACTTTATTCACGAGTTTCCCATCCCCAGAATGCATTGCGAAAACAGGTTTTTTTCAGTGTGTTTTGGGGTGTTGGGGCATTTTATGCTCAACATGAATTTAAATTACTATGGGTCGAATCTGACAACAAATAGAGAATGAAGTTTTTGCGTTCTTCTCAACATGGAACATGTGGTTTGTAACGTTACAGGATCAGTATAGCGTTATCACTATATAACGTTAGAAAACCACATATTCAAAAAAATTCATTCTCTATTTGTTGTCAGATTCAACCCATAGCAATTTAGTTAACGTTGAGCACAAAATTCCCCAACACCTCAAAATACAGTGACACTGAAAAACAAGCTGTTTAACGTCAACAGGATCATTCCGATGCCTTCCTGTCCTATGCAAATGAGGTTTAGACCCCTCTTTTCGCAATGCATTCTGGAGATGGGAAACTGGTGAATATCTAAGACTTTCACAGTGTTCTGTGATACGTTTTAACAACCTGAGGGTGGGTTGGAATAAACCTCCATTGCTTCAAAATAACTACTTTATGGTCTTGTTTTTCAGTTTCATACTTCTGAATTTTCAGTTTTTACTTCAGTTTATACTTTCTAGATTCTCCATTTGTAGATAGATAGATAGCTAGATTGATTGATAGATTGATTGATTCCGTAAATAATTTCATCAGGTTGGTAAACGAATGAATAGCAAAGTTCTTTGATCACAGCCATTTATTTTTCAAGAGCCGACGTTTCGATGACCTTCTGGCATCTTCCTCAGGGCAATCAATTTTGACTGGTTTACTGTGCACTGACGCTAGATGTTACTTGGTGCATAGTGCACTAAAGGTGTTACATAGTTTTTACTGTTTACAATGCATTCCGGAACGTAGAGTAATTGTGACATACATACTAGGCATTGTTACATCATAGGGAAATATGCGGTTCCAAATGTAAAGTGTTTCTATATATAATGTAAAATGTGTTAACTGACAATACTGAGAAATCACAGTCCCAATTGATTGATTGGTTGGTTGATTGACTGATTGATTGATTGATTGATTGAACCTCAGGGACCTGCGAGACGGCCACATCTGGTACTCGGTGTACGGCCGCCCTGCCAGCAGCCCCTTCACCCGGACCCAGCGGGTCTCCTGCTGCCTGTCCATCGTCATGTGCACCATGCTGGCCAACATCATGTTCTTCGGCCGGGGGGACGACTTCGACCCGCCGGAACCCGTCAACATCTTCGGGTTCGACGTCAGGATTCCAATTTCCTGGCCTCAGGTAGCCGCACTGCCTAGAAAGATCTAAAATTATTGGGGCCTGTCATTACTTACATGGACAAAAGGAGGTATTGGTTTTGGTCCGTATGTGTGTGTGTGTTTGTGTGTATGTGTGTGTGAGTGTGTGTTTTCGCATATTTTAGCGCAAAACGCAAGAAGGCTTGGTGGATTTTTGTGATATATAGTCTTTTGGTAGGACATGAAAAACAGGTCAATTTTCGACCACCTAGCTACGCATACTGTCTTTGGTACTGCAGCAGAACATCGTTTTTTGTATTTTTTTTAATCATGCTTTGTAAGTCGTAGAAGGGGACTTGAGTTCTTGCTTCTAGATAGAAGATCTAGACTACAGTTAGTTGCTATACATAGTCCACATAGATGACGTATTATGACTTAGGAGCCAAACGTTTGTCTTTCAGAGGTTTAGACAAATCATTTTCTGATGTTATATTCTACAGATTGCCATCGGTCTGCAGAGTGCTGCGGTGGTGTTTCCTATCAACGCCCTCATCATCTGGATTTTCCGTAGCGTCAAACATCGTCCTGATAATGCACTGAAGGAGGGTAAGTTTGTAGCCCGGTGTCTTAGGTGAGGTCGTGTGGTGTGGCATAGCGGTAGCGGTAGCGTCTCCGGGTTCGAACCCCACTTTGTCACCGATCTTGTGCCCTTGGTGGTTGCAATGTGCTGATGTTAATAGCTCCTTTTTATTGAACATTACAGTTAAGACCTGCTTCATGTGTTTGTATGCACTGTAGCTACTTCCGCTGACAACCGCGTCATCGGAAAGGACAAGTCAGACAGGCGGCCTTCGTCTAACAACAAACCGACTTCCACCGAGCTCTCCAGCGTCCAAGTTTACCTGATGAACTTGCAGCCGTCCTTACCCGAACAGGTATGTGATGAGACAAGATAGTACTAATGTAGCCAATAGCATGTTATTGCAACTAGTGAAGAAGAGTACATAATGTAAATTATAAGATTTATCTCCATCTGGAACGTGGATGGTAGATAACTATGAAGAGAGGAAACAAGAAAAGGCTCTGATTTAATGATTTGTTTGTTACTTTGATGCAGTGATATGTGATGCTGGCTGTTCCCACTGAATCAAAACCATTTGTACAATGATTGAGTCAAAATTTGAAAATGTTAAGTAGGAACCTTGTTTTTTTCGGCTTGCCTTTTTTTGCTCGCATTAGATTTGGAGTCTGCGGAGGATGTCATCCATAAAATTTACTTGCTGTGGCCTTAGAGAGTAATGTATAACAAAATATATTCCATCAAATGTACTTGCTGTTAAAGGTCCGGAAGGAAGCTGCCCGTGAACAGCAGCAGACGATGCGGGGCCAAGTCACTGACCTGACTTCTCCAGGGCAGATCAAGTCTCAAGGTTACCGTTGACTCTTTGTGTCGGATAGGGGAAATTATTATGAAGCAAGTTTGAACTCTAATTTCCAACACAACAAATCGGACTCACCCAAATTTTCAACTGTACAACTCCAGTCTTTGTCAAGGAATGAGCAATCCACTGCTTCCTTGAAGTCACGCAGATAGCACACGTGACTCTGTGAGCAGTGGATCATAGGTTACAGAAAGTCTGTGGCGCCCCCCGTCTCTGTTGAGGGATGGTTGTAATGCCCTGATGTAGATGGCCTTTTTAATCCCTCGTGCAAAGAAGTCCGGTTCTGAGTCCAAGATTCTTACTTTGTCCAGTGAGATTAAATGTCCAGGAGATTCTATGTGCATATGTTGTGAGACCTCCGAAGTTTGTCGAGCTAGGTCGTTTGTGTTCTAAGAACCTAGTCTTGAGAGATCTTTCGGGTGAGGCCAATTTGCTGTGTTGTAAATTACAGTTTAAACTTACTTCATAATGATTTCTACCAACACAGATGAACTTTCAAGATAAGGGAAAATTATAAGTGGAAATACTAGTATATAAATATACATCCAGCCACCTGCAGGATTCTAATGTACACCGCAATAAAACTGTTCAGGTCAAATTATTAATGTCTACTCATGGGACGTCACTGAGCTGTGCAAAATTTCTTCATTTTTCATCATTTCTTCAACTTGTTCAAACTGACATGTTTCAATCCACAGAAAAACGATATGTAGATCATGCATCTGCAAAAATGTTAATATGATGCTATAAGATCATGAAAGTTCATCTGTGTTGATAGTTACATGTTTAGAGTTAAAACTTTTGTTCCAACACAAAAAATTCTCTCACCTAGAGCTTTCTACCAGTCACTCTTGTCTTCCTCAGTAGACTGACCCAATGAAGCTCTTCACGTGACTTCTTTGAAGTGTGACGTCAACACTGGGTCAAAGGTATCTGGTAGACGATGTCGACCCCGTTGCTGTTCAATGTAGGGTGATGGGCCCTGATGTATATGGCTTCCTTCACCCCTCTCAAGAAATAGTCTTGTTCAGTGTCTAAAATCCTTACAGTGTCAAGTGAAACAAAATGTCCGGGTGACTCTATGTGGATGTGTTGAAACACGGGGGTCGACATCGTCTTCCAGATACATTTGACCCAGTGTTGACGTCACACTGCAAAGAAGCCACGTGACAAGCTTCACTGGGTCAGTCTACTGAGGAAGACCAGAGTGACTGGTCGAAAGCTCTAGGTGAATTTTTTGTGTTGGAACAAAAGGTTTAACTTTAAAGATGCCATAAGATAATTCAATCTAAAATATGTTCACAATTGCAGAGGTGAATGAGAAATACGCTGTACTGGATGATCCAGAAAACTCCACACCAGGATTGCTGCCGTGGTGGTTCGTCTATATTGGTAAATAACTTAAGTTGCTATTCATTTTCGGTGTGTTTGTCTGTTTTATTTTCTGTTCGTATTTAAGCCATGTTGATTTGATTGTATGGATGAATTTTCGGCCGTTTCCCAAAAAAAGGTTTTCAACCATACTGTAAATCGTACAAAACAGTTGCAAAATGAGCACAAATATACCGTAAGTTGCAAAAAATGATACCACTGTCGTAGAATGTCAGAATCAAACCAAACAAGACGAAAATGTAAAGAAATGAATTCGAAGAGTAGATTATTCGCCAAAACATATTCTCTGTCATTTGTTAATCCTTCATGACCACATAGATTTTATAAGAAAGTTTTTTTTTTATTCGCATTTTTTTTATTCGCATGCACGCGCGCATAAGTTTTGGGGTTCCCAGAGGATGTCATCCATATAATCAAATCAACTTGGCCTTATCTAAAAAGAAGGTCAAGAAGTGAGGGGAAAATCTTGTAACCGTAAATCGACAGAATTGTTGTAGTGTCCAGTACTATACTTAGGCATTGTTCTGGATAGTCTACGCGTATCCATAATCGTACCTAGGACACAGATTCTATGTCCTTGGATGTGTGAAGAGTATCCAGAACACATGTCTAGCCCTAGGCCTACCCAATTCAGACATATAACCCCCCCCCTCCCCCCCCCCACACACACAAGGCTCAAAGGTCCACTTTTTGGTCCACTTTTATCTAAAAGTCCAATATTTTTCTTTAAAAGAGGGACTGACTCGTGTCACCAGCGAGGCTGGACTCGTTGAAAAACGACTCACTTTGTCTTTGAAAAATAGTTATCTCTGATTTTTTCTTTGAAATCATCTAAAAAACGCAGGAAATGCCATTTCAGAAAGTTCATTTTTCAAAATTTCCCAGGGGAGCATGCCCCTACACCCCCTACGGCGCTCGCTGGTCCCTTAAGCAGTGGGAAGAACGCCCCCCCCCATTCAAATCCTGTCAATCTCAGACCCTAAGTTTTACAGTAACTGTAAATGCCTGAATCCTCAGGCTTCCTCTTGGTGTTCGTCGCCACCAACACCTCTGCGTTCTTCGTCATGCTCTACTCGTTTGAGTTCGGGCGGGAGAAGGCGGAGGCCTGGCTGCTCATCTTCCTGACGTCATTCCTGTCTGACCTCATCCTCATTCAGCCGGTCAAGATCCTCGCCGTGGCGGCGCTTTTTGCGGTGTTTTACAAGGTGTTGTTATCTTACCTTACCTTAGACCTTAGATCCTCCCGAAACCTTGTTGCATAGGTCGACTCCTTGTCTGACTTTTTGTCTCCAAAGGTTTCGGTCTTGCGCCACTACTGCCATATCCTTAAGTGAGTTAAGTCCAAGTTTTACCCCATCATTTTGTAGTGTTTTCCGCAAAGTGACTCTAGGCCGCCCTCTCGGGCGTGTGCCTTCTGGCTTCCATGTTAGAGCTGTTTTTGTGGTTCTGAGATCAGGGAGTCTCCACACATGTACAGCAAAGCTCAATCTCCTTTTCATTACAGTCGCACTGAGAGATGGAACCTTGGCTCTTTGCATGAGCTCCTCATTTGATACGTGGTCACGCCAGGAGATGCCTAGTATAGTTTTGAGGCATCTACGCTGGAAAGTGTCTAACATTTGCACTGTCTCTTTGGTGCTTCTCCAGGACTCACATGCATATATAGCAGTTGGTACCACAATGGACTGGAAACGCTTAATCTTTAGCGGAATGCTAAAGATGAATGCTAAAGTTGTTATCTAGAGATAGAAAAAGGCCGCTATAGAAAACTACCTGAGATTATGCTAATATTGTCCAATGATTGCAGTGGAAAATGAAACACATTTTGGTAGCCAGTGTTCTCGCTATGAGACCGACAGAAACAGATTATTTCAGAAAGTTACAACAATTTCTCCATCCTTTCGTCATTTAGAAGATCACCAAAAGACTACGTTTCTACTAAGATCACAAAACCCACTAATTATGCAAAATGTGGTTCTATTCATTATCCACTGCCTTCAAAAAAGAAGTCGAGCCCCCTAATAGCTAGTGTAGTATGTAGTAGACGTTTTTTTCAGACAGTTGTTGCCTGTCTTCTATTACTGTATTGTAATGAGTAGTATACTTGATTGTAAAAGCAATTAGCCTTCGGGCTTGATTTTGCAAAATAAAGTTATAAAAAGTTATCATATTACTCATCACTGTCATCGGTAATGAGAACCTGTCATTGCTGCAGCAGGCTCCCTGAGTAGTTGGATTGCATTATGTAGCAAGTGGCCGTGGTAACGCGTGTTAGAGGGGTTGGTCACCATATATATGAATGTGTTTAAGTGAGAATAAACAGAGCAGCAGTTTGTTAGGCTAGACCATCCCAAGGTTAAGCATTTGCTTGGCATATGTAGCCTTCTTATTGTATCATGTTTTTACCTTTATCTTTCCCCCAGAAAGCGGATAAAGGAGAGGAAGGGAAGAGGTACGATCTAAAACAGTGTGAAGACATTGCTGAAGAGCAAAAGCAGGTAAGTTTTCATCCAACATAAAGATAAATGCTGCCAAACCATGTGACGGTAACATAATAGCAAATTAAAAGGAGGTAATTAATAATGCGAAATAATGAAATGTTCCAAAATACTTTTAAAGATACTATTGTGTTCAGAACAGTGTCTATCTGGCTACATGTAGCTCTATGCCTAATGCTGGGGTCACATTTCCAAACCGGGGCCCGGCCGGGCTGTTTTGATTGATGAAAAATCTTCATTTCAATAATACATGAATACACAGATGCTTCCCATTATTAGCGTTTTGTGCTTTGTTGTCTTTTATATCATATCTTTCGTTCCATATAGACTGCAAGGCCGGGCCGCGTTTTGGAAATGTGATCCCAGCATAAATGGGTTAGCATTATAGGATCAGGCAGGGGGCTCCAATAACGTAGATTTGCCCCTTGCACTGTTCTGGATACGCGTGGACTATCCAGAACCGTGCCTGGACATGGGTCTGGATTAAGCATGGTTCTTTAATGGCATGTTCATACCCATGGGGCCAAATGCATGCATCAGAGTGTGAGGTTGCATGTACATCATACTGAGTAACATGATACATGGGATATAATAATAACAGAATAACGTAAAAGTCTAAACAACTACTAGAGAATAAACTAATCTAGGCCTTGAAGATTTCTTCTCTCTTTTTAAATCAATTAGAGATAAATTCAAATAGTTAGTCTATTGTATGGTCATTACTGGTGGACTGAATACCTCTTTCTTTGTTCTACCTTTATACAGTTTGTCAATTGAAAGTGGATTGTTCTAAATAGTGTGTCACGTTCGATATCATACAATTTACCATTTACAAATATAACAAATATCCGTAAATAATTTCATTAGGTTGGAAGATACTTAGGGTATAGAATTTTCTTCTTACACAACCAGTAAGGTTCTCACCTGCTTACGCCACTTACTGGTTGTGTAAGAAGAAAATTCTATACCCTAAGAACAAATATCCTTGGTGAATTTGCATCTCCGTGCAGAACCCACCTGCCCCTGCCCTCCCCGGCTCCCCAGACCTGACTCAGGCCCGGCTGCTCGCCGTCCGCCGGAGGAAACTCAGGACCATCCTGAAGGAAGTGTCTGTCTACGCGCTGTTCCTGGCCGTGGTGATGCTGGCTGCGTACGGGCAGAAGAACCACATGGCCTTTCACATGTCCAACCAGGTTCAGCGGCTCGTCGTGCACGGCGAGGAAATGTCTTTTGAAGAGGTTAGTACAAAACATTTGCTGCCAATTGTGGAAAACAAGACTGTGTAATAAAATTTTGTTTACATTCCATTGCTCTAAACCTTTTTTTATTCCAACATTACATGACTAGACATGGTGACAGCACACTCAAGTTATATCACCTTATTTTACGCCACCACCAATACGAATACAGGACAGGACAATACTCATTTTCACTTAAGTTAAGTGAGGAAAGTCGTACAAAGTGCCTTTCCTAAGGGCAAAAGATCGGTGGCATGTCAGGACTCGAATCCGGGACCTCTTGGTTCCGAGTCGAGCACGCTGCCGCTACGCCACCCGACCTAACCTTCTTGCCTCACAGTTATGGGTCTCCGCCAGCACTAGAGCTGTATCAAAGTGCCTAATTACCTATAACAATTGTTTCATGTATTATAATGTTTTTGCCCAGATTTTGTAGTGGCAGTGAAATGTTTCTTTATTATAGGACACACACCTTTGACGCTATATAGCCAAAAATGCTATTTGGTCATATCCCGTTTGTACTCTCAAAAAACATCTGTTCTAAACTCCGACGTTAACTTCCGCAACAAAATCTTCCGCAATGTCTGGGTCCGTCTGTATTCTTAGTTTGTATTTTATAATTCTATGAGTCTCTTGGTTCCGTGTCGAGCACGCTGCCGCTACGCCACACGACCTAACCTTTTTGCCTCACAGTTATTTGACTCCGCTAGCACTAGATCTGTATCAAAGTGCCAGGTGGCATGGCATGTACAAAATCACTAACGGACTGGAAGCCATTCCACCCACTCGTCTGACCTCAGCGTCTACTCGTACACTTCGACCGACCTGTGACACTGCAAAATATGCATACTACGCCAGAAGCATCCCTGAGTGGAACAGCCTTTCGGCATACATACTGGACAGCCCCTCACTGGACTCCTTCAAGAGCAGGCTGTCATCCCGACGGTAGTCCAGACGCTGCGCCTCTCCCCATCTGCGTGATGTCCCGACCAGGGAATTTGCAGATTATTGAACTTGAACTTGTGTGTATTTCTATTTTGTATGTTTTGTTTTATATTGGCCATGGATTCCCAAAATAATCATAATAAAGAATAAAGAAAGAATGAAAATCACGCACTCTGTAAGTAACGTACCAAGACCCAATCCAGATCAAGGTCCAACGTTAGACTACGAGAAGCAGAAATACATTAACTACAATGTTTCTGACGATAATTTACATCTTTCGCCATCTACAACTCTTATTCATGGAACTGATCACTGAATTTACTTTCATCTCTCGCTCATTCACTCACTCATTCACTCACTCTTTCACTCACTCACTCACTCACTCATTCCATTGAGCTTACTCGGAACTCGGACTTTGTTCCCTTTATTCATTGTCGTGCTAATTCTCGTGTTAATTCTAGATATAGAACATAAAGGAATTGTCCAAATGGCTGCTTACTTACAATGAGTGCAAGAAATTCCACCAAAGATTACAAGTATATTAGTCTCCCTACGCAATACATAGTCTTGCGAAGTACATTGATTCCATTATTATGTAATGGAAGCTCCCATACTTAATTTGTGACCAAGATATCTATGTAATGACATGGTATGGCTGATAGATTGGAGACAAGCAGTAGTGTCTCCATAGTTAACCAATCCTGCGTAAAGATCTGGGATAACTAATAACGGCTTTACTCTACTCACGGAGGGCACCTTTACATAATCTAATGTTGTTTAAGACTTTTACAATATTTGGATGTGCAGTGTTGTCCCTATAGGTAACTTTCATCATATCCAAGGCCTGTTCGTAATAGATGAAAGCTTTACTGTGATCACCAAGCTCATTCCAACAGTTTCCAATGCTGTTCAGTAATGAAGCAATGTCGGGATGTGGCGTTGTTTCGTCAAAGATTGCTTTCATCATCTTCAGTGACTGTTCGTAATAACTGATAGCTTTTCTCTGATCACCAAGCTCATTCCAACAGCTCCCAATGTTGTTTAGTGATGACGCAATGTGGGGGTGTGGTGTTGTTTCACCATAGATAAATTTCCGCATCTTCAGTGACTGTTCGTAATAACTGATAGCTTTTCTCTGATCACCAAGCTCATTCCAACAGCTCCCAATGTTGTTTAGTGATGACGCAATGTGGGGGTGTGGTGTTGTTTCACCATAGATAAATTTCCGCATCTTCAGTGACTGTTCGCAATAACCGATAGCTTTTCTCTGATCACCAAGGTCACTCCAACATGACCCAATGTTGTTTAGTGATAATGCAATATCGGGATGTGGCGTTGTTTCGCCATAGATAGCTTTCCTCATTTGCAGTGACAGTTCGTGATAAGTGATACCTTTTCTCTGATCACCAAGTTCACTCCAACATCTCCCGATGTTGTTTAGTGATGAAGCAATGTGGGGGTGTGGTGTTGTTTCGCCATAGATAAATTTCAAAATCTTCAGTGACTGTTCGCAATAACCGATAGCTTTTTTCTGACCACCAAGTTCACTCCAACATCTCCCGATGTTGTTTAGTGATGAAGCAATGTCGGGATGTGGCGTTGTTTCGCCATATATAGCTTTCCTCATCTTTAGTGACTGTTCGTGATAACTGATAGATTTCCTCTGATCACCAAGCTCATTCCAACAGTTTCCAATGTTGTTTAGTGATGACGCAATGTCGGGATGTGGTGTTGTTTCGCCATAGATGAATTTACACATCTTCAGTGACTGTTCGTGATAACTGATAGCTTTTCTCTGATCACCAAGGTGAAGCCAACATATCCCAATGTTATTGAATGATGAAGCAATGTCAGGATGTGGCGTTGCTTCGCCATATATTGCTTTCATCATCTTCAGTGACAGTTCGTAATAATTGATAGCTTTTCTCTCATCAGCGAGGCGACTCCAACAGCCTCCAATGTTGTTTAGTGAGGAAGCAATTTTAGGATGTGGCGTTGTTTCACCAAAGATAGCTTTCTCCATCTTAAGTGACTGTTCGTAATAACTGATAGCTTTTCTCTGATCACCAAGCTTATTCCAACAGCTCCCAATGTTGTTTAGTGATGAAGCAATGCCCGGATGTGGCGATGTTTCGCCAAAGATAGCTTTCCTTATTTGCAGTGACAGTTCGTGATAACTGATAGCTTTTCTCTGATCACCAAGTTCACTCCAACATCTCCCGATGTTGTTTAGTGATGAAGCAATGTGGGGGTGTTGTGTTGTTTCGCCATAGATAAATTTCCACATCTTCAGTGACTGTTCGTAAAAACCGATAGCTTTTTTCTGATCACCAAAGCAACTCCAATAGCCTCCAATGTTGTTTAGTAAGGAAGCAATGTCAGGATGTGGCGTTGTTTCGCCATAGATTGCTTTCCTCATCTTCAGTGACTGTTCGTAATAACTGATAGCTTTTCTCTGATCACCAAGGCGACTCCAACAGCTTCCAATGCTGTTTAGTGAGGAAGCAATGTCGGGATGTGGCGTTGTTTCACCATAGATAGCTTTCTCCATCTTAAGTGACTGTTCGCAATAACTGATAGCTTTTCTCTGATCACCCAGGCGACTCCAATAGCTTCCAATGTTCTATAGTGAGGAAGCAATGCCCGGATGTGGCGTTGTTTCGCCATAGATTGCTTTCTCCATCTTAAGTGACTGTTCGTAATAACTGATAGCTTTTCGCTGATCACCGAGCTCATTCCAACAGTTCCCAATGTTGTTTAGTGATGAAGCAATGTCGGGATGTGGCGTTGTTTCACCATAGATAGCTTCAAACATCTTCAGTGACAGTTCGTGATAACTGATAGATTTCCTCTGATCACCAAGGCGACTCCAACAGTTTCCAATGTTGTTTAGTGATGAAGCAATGTCAGGATGTGGCGTTGTTTCACCATAGATAGTTTTATCAATCTTCAATGATTCTTCGTAATAACTGATAGCTTTCCTCTGATCGCCAAGGCCGCTCCAACATGTCCCAATGTTTCCAAGTAACGAGGAAAATACAGAACGCATTTCGTTGCCTGCATAAATAGTATTTCCAGTGCTAAGTGCCCGTTTGTAGTAGCTGATTGCTATCTCATAGTCACCGCGACTGTGCGAGACACTGCCTAACGCGAAAAGTATGTTAAACTGCTTTTCCTTGTCATCATCCGCCTCTTTCAGTGCTGCCTCAAAGTGAAGTAGGGATGCATCTAACTGCAACAGCTGTTGTGTTATTTGCCCCCTGGTTTGAGCTGAGTTGTCAAAGATGGCAGTTGGGAATATCTTTGTTGTTTGATTATCCTTTTCAACTGTATCCATAATGCATCTTTTTAATGGAAAGGCTGTATAGTAGTACCTGAACAACATTTTACAGTTTGGTATGTGGAAAACTGACTCAACGAAGGTGTCATCTACGCCATGTTTGTCCAGTTCGATTTTCATCTCCGTGAGAGGAGACAATCTGTCCTTCTGTCCTACATTGGCAATGTACGTCCTTAACCGTAGCTCCGCTGAGATGCTGATCAGTACAGTCAAGTGGTGGGCATCTTCGTGACTGATCCGCTGTGTCTTGTGTAACTCTTCTATCATTCCCCACACACTGGGGATCGTGATACCACAGCAAATACTCAACACATCAACGGCCACGCTGGGAAAACGGTATATTTCTTTCTTGACATCAAGAAGTTGTCCAGTTGGTTCAACGTTTTTTATTTCCCGAATGTTATCCTCCAGTATTAGCATTGCTGACAACCGTGACAGAACAGGGGAACGGTCTACGCTTTTGTTGACAATGCTTGTATACTCATCTACCAAAGACTCGTCGCCCGTTAAGTAAGTCACCCGTCTGAGGATGTCTGACAGGTGATAACCTTCCGCCAGGGCGATTCTGATATTCTGATACTTGGCCAACTTGGCAGGAGTCTGGATGAGACTAACTTGAGGTTTGCTTTTGGTTTTGTCTCTTCCAAATGGAGTCTTAGAAGCCCATGGCATGAAGCCGTCAAAAGCGAAGCCGCGAGGAGTGACGGAGTCGTAGAACCAGTCTTTCTCTGGGTCTTCTGAGAGAAAGTCATTGAGTGACGGGATGGCCATGGCTGGGAGGATGGTTTCCCCAAGGTTGATGACTTTTAGATGTAAGCAGTGTGTGAGATTTAGGAAGTACCTCCGTGTATCATCACCATCCTTTCCCTCCTCAATCAGAATGGCGAACTCCAGGTCGGAGTACGGCGTAACCAGTTCTGTGGCTTGTGACCCCAACCCGATGAAAGCGTACTTACAGGGAGGAGGTCCGAGTTTTGCGATGCATTTATCTGTCAGTAGTTGGGTGAACTCCCGTCTTCCAACTGTGATGCTCTTAAACAAGTTCTTGATCGCTTCGGCTCGTTTGATCTCTACCTGTCTCACGACAGGATCATCTTCATCATACTGGTAAGGGTTGTGTTCCTGATGAATTGTTTCCAGCTGATATTTTGCACGTGCGCGTATGTTGTCCAGTTCCTTTATGTGATCTAGCGTGCTGCTATACGGACACGGTTCACAGTCTAGGTTACATGTGTTAATAAGAAACTGCCTTTCTGTTTCTTGCAGTTTTGATAGCAAGTTTTGTTTGTCCCTCTTTGACCGTGCCATGGAGGCGTTATACAGAGCTGCCGCCTGTGTGAATTTCCTACCTTCTCCTGTCCGCTTGCCTCGCTCGACATAGACGTCACCCAACCTGCACAGACAGTCGGCTTCTTTAGTCGTGATAGATTTACTTCGATCTGTTGGTAGGAATTTAAAAAGATCAGATTAAACAAAAGCTGTGCACTTATTTTTAACTGAACTCAAAACAAAGTCCTTCATAAAAGAGAAAATAGGCTAATTAAACTGTCAATGAAAAATTAAGACAAGACTTAAGATTATATTATGTATGAATAAAAAGTTATGATAACAAACCGTGAACCAGCTTCAGGGCGGCTGCCAGTTTTATCTCTGCTGCTTCCAGGTCTCCATTTCTCAAGTCACGGTCTGCCGTCTGCATGTACCTGCGGTAGGATCTAAACAACGAAGGAAGCGTTGTTTTGCACTATATAAACGTAGTTCAGAAAGGTACCAAAATGCACCACAAAATGTTTGACATAGTGTTTAATACATATTAGGCCAATCATCCAATGCACATAGGTAATAGTGTTGACATAAAATTGAACAACGTAGTCTTTTTAACGTCACAAACCAACGTTATACATAGTAGAAATTGATAACACTTCTGGCCAGCAATGTGCTTTATGCGCTTAATGGCCCCTTCTTTATGATTTTTATCCATTTACATGTAGATATGAAAGAATCAACTTCACTGATCATGAACGCCTTAGAAAAGGGAACATAAAAGCACAAACATGTCGTCAACTTGACTGGTAGTCCCGTCGCTAGAGGGCGCAGCTGAGAAGGGAGAGAACGGGTCCTTCCGTCCTCTCACGTCTTGTTTTTGTGTCCGTTTTGCCCTCTGCGAGAACCGATAGGAAGTATGCAGCATATGATGAACAGGATAGGTGGTCATGTTATCTACAAAAAAGCTTGGGCCAATAGTCAAAGGTAAATGACCTGACATGACCGATGGAAGGCCATCGCAAACTGTGACTATGTTGAATACTGAGTATTTGGAGGGAATATAAAATGTGATGATTAATGTTAGTTGTTAATTTGGACATCATTTTATTACAAGGGCGAAACAAGAGTTCCGAGATCTCATACCTCCATGAAATATGGGCTTGACATGTTAATGAAAACTCATTCTTTAATTATGCAAATGACCTCTGCAATGACATAATATATGCATCGTGATGTTAACTTTTGATTAACTTACAGATGTCCCAAGTATGACATTCCCATCATCCACCATTGAGAATGCATAGAATTTTAACATGGTTTATGCAAATTAGATAATCTTTTGCATAATTAGTATCTTTTGGTGTTCCATCTGCCATAGGTTACATACATTACATGTATGAAAGTACTATAATGTAAAACACTGTAAGCATAGAATTTCCTCATTAATTATGCGAAAAAGGTCCTCATTTGCATAATTTCAGTTATGTACATCTCTCTCTCAGCTACCTACCTACCAAAAATGATGAAAACACGTTGTTTCTATCTGGACTTATTGGCTTTCAAAGATTTCGCCCGAAGGTCCCCTGCAGTTCCAGAACAGGGGCTTGGTCCCCAAGTGCTAGGGGGACCAAGCCCACACCACTTATTCCTGATAGGAAAATCTATTTGTCACAAAAAAATTGAAGACCATAGCATGTTCAGGACAAAAGATACAAAAACAGGGTGTTCTGCTGCAGTACCAAGGGCATACACCAGGAGGCCCATATTTGACCTTGTCCTTGGTCTTCCTAAGACGTACCAGCATACGAAATATCATCACAATCCATAAAGGCATTTTGAAGTTATGCTGACTACAAATGTACGGAAACACAAACACACACACACACACAGACACACACACACACAGACACGCCAAAAACAATACCTCCATTTTTCATGGAGGTAAAAACATATATTTCATGGAGGTATGAAATCTCAGAATTCTTGTTTAACAATGTATCAATAAAACGCTTTCGCATTTAGCGACGCGAAATGCATGACGGGATACATGGAGGTAAACAAACCGAGTCAGAACCCGGAAGTCAGCCTGGCGAGTTCCATCATGCTCAAGTCAAAATAATTCTCTCACCTTGTTTCTTGTTGTGGTGATGTCTTGTCTGATTTTTGCGGTGTGCAGTAAGCGGTGAACAATAACAATTGTTCCATGAACGTAATGACACCGCGCCAGTGCCCTGTTGTACAGAGCAGTAGCTCTGGTCAAGTTTCTAGTGTCTCCAGTTTCTGTTCCTCTTTTCAGGTACACGTCACCCAGACTCTTGATCGCTTCTGTTTCTAACATGTTATCGTCGTTTACTATCGCCTCTACCATCACCTGTGCGTATCCAACCAGCAAAGAGTCGGTGTTACCTCCGGTAGCCCGTCTCTTGTCCAGATCTTGAAACTTTTCCGCTACCTTTGCAGGCGTAGTCGTCTCCTTGTCTTCAGTTGGCATTTCCTTGCCCTGTGACGACACCCCTTGTAAAAGCCTCTCCGTGTAGTGGTAGCGGTGTTCTATACCATCTGCCTGTTCTTCATGATAACACCGTACCATAGCAGCCAGATAAAGTGCCAAGGCTGTGTTAAACCTGCCCACGTTCTTCCCGAGTCTTCCCTTCTGCACGTTCACGTCGCCCAGAGTTTTGAGCAGCTCCACTTCCGCCAGCCTGTCCGTGTCGGCCATGGCGTCCACCAGGGCACGGAGGTAATCTGTCTCCGCCCGGGCTAGTCCGTACCTCTTGCCCTTCTCGTCCGCCTCACGGAGTTTCTCACACACCCGCAGCATGGTGACTTTCTGCTCCAAAAATGTCTCTAAAACTCCTTGTCTTTACCGTCTTACTGCTAGCTTTATTCGCCTGACTTGTACAGGCACAGGTCTCACACTGTCTGTGTCAACATTACGTCATCCGCCAATACAAAGGTCAGAGGTTCAATAGACAAAAGGTTCGGAAATACCCGTGTCCGTAATCATCATCATTATTATCGTGTCCGTAAACATATCAGGTAACCTGCTTACCTGCGTAAGCCTTAAGTGTTTAGGTCGGGACATCTTAACACATTTTTCCAGGCAGCCTCGTTCGTTGTCGCCATCACTGAGTATTTAGGCGCCTTAAATAAGTATAGTGGCGTCTTAGATTTGATCTTTCTACCATTTCAGGTGGTCTCGTGTTCGGGAATCCCCGCTGGTATCCCTTAGGGCATATCTGTACAATAAGGAACGAGAATTCGTAGATCTCATACCTCCATGAAATATATAAGTTTTTGTAAATGTTTTTTATTTGTCGCATTTTTTACCCATGAGAAATGGAGGTGTTGGTTTTGGTGCGTCTGTCTGTGTGTTTGTGTTTCCGCACATTTGTAGTCAGAATAACTTCATAACGCCTTCATGGATTGTGATGATATTTTTTGTATGCTAGTGAGTCCTAGGAAGACGAAGGTCAAGGTCAAATATGGGCCTCCTGGTGGATGACCTTGGTACTGCAGCAGAACTTCCGGTTTTTGTATCTTTTGTCCTAAACATGCTATGGTCTTAATCTTCTGGTGACAGATAGCTTATCTTGTTAGAAATTAGAGGTGTAAGTTTGGTCCCCCTAGCAGCTTGTTCTGGACCTGCAGGTTAGCTTCTGGTAAAAACTTTTAAAGCCAGTAAGTCCAGATAGGAACAACGTATTTTCATCACTTTTGGTCTGTAGGTAGCTAAGAGAGAGTTGTACATAATTAGATGGAAATCATGCAAATGAAGTCTTAATTTGCATAGTTAATTAGGAAATCGTATAATTACAGTGTTTTATGTCATGGTACTGCTATACATGTAATCTATTTCATCTGTGGCAGGCGGAACATCAACAGATACCAATTATGCAAATTATGACCTAATTTGCATAATTAATGTTAAAATTGTATTGATGAATGATGGGAATTTGATACCTTGTGATATGTGTAAATTACTCCAAGGTTAACACCACCATGCATATATTATGTTAATGTGGAGGTCATTTGCATACTTAAGGAGGACATGTTGAAATGAAGCATGACAAAGGAGGGGAATTTACACGAAATATATTGTCATTTGAATTTAGAAAACCATAAATGAAACTAGATTATGCTAGTTACGACCTCATTTTCATAGCCAATGAGACAAAGAAAAACATTTACAAAAACGCATTTATTTCCTGGAGGTATGAGATCTACGAATTCTTGTATTGTGCACTAATAGTGCTTGTATTGGTATGCCCGCCACGTTTATAGGTGAGTGATGCTGACTCCTACTGGACCTGGCTAGAGACTGCCGCCGTCCCGAGTCTTTACCAAGATGCAGCCGGCCCGGACCTGCCTTTTCACCGTGTAGGACCGATACGGCTCCGCCAGGCGAGAGTCAGGCTAGGTGGGTGGTGATTTCTGTCCCAACCATATTACCTGTATGTGAAAGAATGTGTAAATATTGCAGTGCAAAGGCTTTGGAAGACGAAATACATTTTATTTCAAACTGTCCCTTCCATAACAACGCTCGAAATTAGTTTGGTATTCAAACGTCTACAATTTATCCCAATTCCTCTAAACTAACAGACCAAGAAAACTATTAACTTCTCAAAATCAACAGATTTTGGAAAAGGTGGGACATTACGTCTTCCATGGTTTACAGTAAAACCCTTCAGACATAGTATTAGACATAGTTCTAGTTCTAGACAGCTGACATTTATCATGTATCCTTTAGTTATTTTATACTCTGTTCCATTGTACTTTTATGTTTTGTAATTTGCAATTAGCCTCCGGGCACGAATTTGAAAAAAAAAACACTAACGTTTTAATCATTCCATTTACGAGTTGCCACCTAGCATGATTCCATGCCCTGTTGGAAGACTTTATAATTATGCCGAGGTCACGTTTCCAAACCGGCGCCCGGCCGGGCTGTTTGCATCAACGAAACATTAATTCAACAGTTCATATCAAGAATATAACACAAATAGTATCCATGATTAGTTTATGAAATTTTGGGGTTTTCTTCTCTTTTATATTGTCTTTTTGCTCCAGAAAGCTTCCCGGTAGGGCCCCGGTTAGGACACGGTCACATTTTCAAGCCGGGGCCCGGCCGGGTTGTTTGCGTGAACGAAAAATAACCAATTTGCATTAAGAGTACACACAAATATACTCATGGTTAATTTTCTAAAACTTTTTTTTGTGTTTTGCTGTCTTGTAGAGTCCATTCCACGTCACCGAGTGGGTTTTTTCTCAATGTTTCTAATACGTTTGAATCATTTAGAAGAAAAGAATACCCCAGTAACAAAAGTTCTAAATTTTTCAAAAATTTGAAAATGAAAATTTGAATATATTTGAATTCATTTATATATTTCTGAAACATTCTGAAAGTGACTGTACATAGATCTCTTTATTTAGAATAAATTTGAACTACCCATGTGTTTCTTTCACTATTCGAAATATTTAGAAATATTTCAAACAAATGACCAAATGGTAGATGTGGGTAATTGCCCCCATAAAAGTAGATGCTAATCCTACTCTTCTGTCTTCCTCTGTATATTTTTAGATTTCACTGCTGGACACTGGTGGCTCTTTTGTTGTAAGGAATCAATGCCTGATGGCAGACTAGCCTGTACTTCACAGGGATGTGTGAATTACTTCCTTCCTATCCCACTGGCCTATTTACAAAATGTTAAAAATAATTCGAAATAATGGTAAAAAATGGTAGAGTGCTGTTAGAATTATTTAGAAACTATTTGAAATGTCATAATCCACATCAGGAATATTTCAAACGTTTTAGAAAACTAAGGAATTATTTAGAATATTGACAAGATGTTCAAATTATTTCCAAATTATGAAATTTCTTAGACAAACAATTACAAAGAATTCAAAACATTTCTAAATAATGACAATAACAACCCACTGGGTGACGCGGAATTGACTCTATGATTTTCGTTCCGAGCGACTGCCCGGCCGGGCCCCGGGTTGGGAAATGTGACCATGCCTTTAGGAAATAGACTCAACTCAAGACTCAAGAATTATTTATTGATCAATGGCAGTAAACTTGATACAAGTCACTGAATTGCAAATCAATGTACATTTCATTATCTTAAAATCGAGAGTTTATAGTATTGCATATCAATTAAGTTAAAATTCAGAGTCATTAGGAGGTTAAAATACAAAGTCATTTGGAAGTTAAAATATAGTATCATTAGAAAGACTACATAGACCACAATAATTACACATAATAAAACCACACCACAACAGTTAAAAATTACGAGCAGAAGAACGATTAAAAGGTAGGCCCATGTGATACAAATATTTCAAATATTCCTAATAACTGGATGGTCTGTTAACAATTGTTTCTCCTGGATCCTGCATCGCTAAACCCATCTCGGTGTGACGGTTACCGGTAACAATTACTCCGGTGTCCGTACAGGGTGTTGCCACTGGTCGGGTTCTGACATCGAGAGGACACCGGCTATCTTCTTCACAATTGGAAGCTCGTTTACATTTAAAAACTTAGTGCACTACTCCATAGTGGAGCCGCACTGACTTTCTACCAGATTGGAATCTCTGCACAGACACAAATTTAATGAATGAATGAATTACGACCTTTATTGCACATTTTTGCCACACTATGCTAATCATAAGTACAGGTAAAAAAAAACTTGATGAAAAGATATATACAAAATAAAACTAGCTATCATTACATAAATTCAACTTCTCGCTTTTCAGTTATAGTATAGATAAATGAACAGATATGTTTTTCGATGGAAGGTTTGTCAAGTGGCATTAGGAATATGAATATTTCTACAGTGCTCAAGTGTATGAAGTAAGGAAATAGGTTTTGCACAAGCCTATACAGATAATTTCTCTCTTTACTATTTAATCTACATTCTATAACAAAGTGACATTCGTCCTCTATTCTATTCTATTCAAATTACACCATGTGCATAACCTTTGTTCCAGAGGGGTGCGGGTATGTCTTCCAGTTTCAATTTGTAGTTTGTGGCAGCTTATCCTTAGTCTTGTGACTGCATTTCTGATATTCAAATTTTTATTTCCTCGGTATTTTTCTTTATTTAATATGCTTCAGATTTTGATTGTCTGACGACAGTATCCCCAGCAAACCAGACATCAGGGTGCGGCAGACGCTATGATTACTTCAGTCAGGACGAAGGGCTGTACGGAGAAGGGTGGCTGCCGCTGCCTGCAGTCAACATCACCGCTCTCAACGGGACCAACGGCACCACAGGGACGGCAGACGGGAACAGCACAAGCCCATGGAGGTTCCGGTCGTCGGGAGACTTACAAGGTAATTAATCTCGTAATTTTCAAGCAGATCTTTCAGTAGTCTGTATAACGCAAATTCTGCCGTCCGCGGCTTTAGTGGCCCCTCCCCACAGAGCTGGCTGGATATTGGGCGGCCGGTGTTGAGCCAAATCCTTGAGCTGCCACATATGTGAGAGGTCAGGCGTTTAGGGCTAGGGTTAGGGTTAGGGTTGGTGTTAGAGTTCGGGTTAGGGTTAGTATTAGAGTTAGGGTTAGGGTTAGAGTTGGGATCAGGGCTAGGGTTAGACTTACGATTGGGGTTAGATTAGGTTTAGTCTCCCAGATTACGACTAAACCCCTCCCACCCCTTGTCTCAGGTATATTGAAAACCCCCAAGTAGTGTCGGAGTCATGTATTTGGCAGGATCATGTATATGGCTTGACACCGGCAACCGTAAAGCGATTTAATCAGGCTAATCTTTCGGTGGCCGGATTCAAGACAGTATTAGATTCACAAAACAATTATATCAAATTGACAAGACAGTGTCCAATTGGCAAGGCAATATCAAACTGACAGGACAGTATCATTTGCAGGGCAGTACACAATACGCAACCGTTTGGCGAAAAAGGTACCAGTACAAAAAAGAAAGCCATGTAGAAACGCCTAAAAAATGTTGAAAAAAGGTCGAAGTCAAAAGCTCTACGTTCAGAGTACAAGGTGATTGTTAAAACATGTTTTAGCGCAAGGCATGATTTAGAAACTATGGATTCGATGTGTCTTTTTCATCTGAGACCAATTAAAAGTGTCAACGAGCACTTGTGTTTAAAGTTAAAACTTTTGGTCCAACACAAAAAAAAGTTTCTCTCACCCAGAGCTTTCTACCAGTCACTCTGGTCTTCCTCAGTAGATTGACCCAGTGAAGCTTGTCACGTGGCTTCTTTGAAATGTGACGTCAACACTGGGTCAACCACGTCTACCAGATACCTTTGACCCAGCGTTGTCTCCAGGTGAAAGAACTTTTTCTGGGTTGGACCAAAAGCTTTAACTTTAAACATGTAACTACCAACACAGATGACTTTAATGAGAGCACGTGTGTGCTGTTCTAGATGTGCCCTATGCGGGAGACCACGGTGTGTACTTCGGCGGAGGCTACATTGCCGACACGTCCGACAACTCAACACAGACCGTGGAAACACTGCGAGATTTGAAGAACCATGGCTGGATCGATAGAGGTGTTTATCTATCTGTTTCCCTGCATACATAGAGACTTTTACTAAGACCACAGCAAGTAATTTTAATGGATGACATCAGGCGCGCATTAATTTTCGCCTGATTTTGAAAAAAAAAAAGAAATTTGCCGAAAATGGACAAAGATGTCTGCTGCCATGCCGGAACGTGGATGGCAGATAACTATGAAGAGAGGAGACAAGAAAAGGCTCTGATTTAATGTTTTGTTTCTTACTTTGATGCAGTGATGTATGATGCTGGTTGTGTATATGTGATGTTCCCACTGCATCAAAACCATTTGTACAATGATTGAGTCAAAATTTGAAAATGTAGGAACCTTTTTTTTTTCGCCCGCTCGCACTAGATTCGGAGTCTGTAGACAATGTCATCCATGAAATTTGCTTGTTGTGTCCTAAGTTTGCTCAAAGCCACCAATTCTGCCTATTTATATACAGAGTTCCGTATCGCTCATTGGTCATTTTTCTCGGGGTCAGCGGTTGGAAAATTCCGAGTCGAATGCTTTGTGAACCAGGGATCTGAATCTATGTAAAACTATATTGGAAATACAACTATATTTACACAGATGTGATAGCGCATTGCAAATGAGGACTAGAGTTTCTTGTATACCCACTGAGTATGATCTTCTAGCTGTAGTCGAACAACAAAATGTCGAAGCTTCAAAAAAAGAAAATTTAATGTTTGTTCATCCACGCGAGCCGTGTTCACCAACTTGACGCTGTACTCACTGGACTCCAACCTGTTTTCAAAATCACAGTGGTTAGACATAAATGAAGCATGTTAATTTCTGTGTGTATGACTGATACCCACACACTATCCCCCTTCAAATAAGCATACGTCCTTTTGCGAAATCACATTGTATTGCTTTGGATGCTTTTAATTTTTCTTCAGCCACCCGAGCCGTGTTCACTGACGTGACGCTGTACTCGCCCGACTCGAAGCTGTTCTCCATCGCGACGCTGCTGGTGGAGTTCACGGCTCTCGGGGCCGGCTTCCCCCGCTGGGAGGTCCACACCGCCCGCCTCTACCGCTTCCACGGCGCCTGGGACGTCTGGATGGCCCTCGTCTACATCTCTGCACTCGCCATTTTTACTTTGGTCTTCGTCATCAGAGAAGGTTCGTATTCCTTTTTACTACGCATGGTACAGATATGTTCCCGCGATGTTATGAAATTCAATGCATTCGTATCGACTTATTATGTATACCAAAGGAAAACATAATGTTGTTGCTACGTTGCTCTTCCTCTTCTTCTTCTCCAAACACTAACCTCTGACCTGGCCAATGACCTGATTTGTTGACGTCTGTCACCATGGTAACTGGTGTTGGGTTACATAATGTTGCAATTTTAAAGGAGGGATGTAGGCTCCTGTCTGACCATATATATGACTGTATTTGAGTAAGAATTAACAGAGCAGACCATTTGCACAGGTAAACATGCATTTGCTTTGCAATTGTTACCTTTCTACTAGTTTTATGTTTGTATGCATAGTTGTTGTAATTGTGGTAATTGTGAGCATTTTTCTTGCATTATGCTCCAACAGTAAGGAAAGCTTACAACAGCGGTACCCTGTATCTCATGGACTTCTGGAACTGGGTGGAAGTGATCATCATCCTTCAGTCCCTGGCGGCGGTCGCCACCTTCTTCTACTCCGAGGCTGTACTGGAGGATGTGGCTGGCGATGACGTCACTGGTCTCGCGGGACATTACGTGAACTACCGGCGCGCGGCATTCTGGGACCAAGTCTACACCTACGTCATCGCCGCTCTGTTGTGTAGTGTGACCTTGAAGATGACCTACCTGCTGCGGTTCAGTCACCGCGCGTCTCTTCTCACCCACACCCTCCGGCTCAGCGTCCGCCCGCTCTCAGGATTCTCCGTCATGTTCTTTCTCTACTTCTTCGCCATTCTGATGCATCTCACCTTCGGTCTGCGCATGCGCTCCTACAGTTCCTTCGCTCGAACCTTCGAGTCGCTGGTGACCATCATAGCCGGTGATCTGAACTTTGAAGAAATCTCCACCACGACTGGAAATCTGGGCACTTTCGTTCTGTTTCTGTTTGTTTTTGTCTTCAATATCTGTTTGATCGGTTTCTTTGTGGCCATCATCGACATATCCTATCACTTTGCAAAGGAAGATGATCAGATGGAAAAAACTGACAATGACCTGAAAGAGTTTTTTAAATATGAAATGCAAAAGCTAAAACCAAAGAAGAGGGCAATAAAGAATAATGCGGTAACCGGAGATACTTCAATATACGGTCCTGGTTATGCAGAAGTCAAAGTGAATGTGATGAAAAGGTTGGGGACAGTTTTTGATGACTTAGACGAAAGATGAAATGCCAGTTTTGTTCTTAACGTTTGTAAACATGCCAAGTCAGCTCTGGCAATATTTTTTAATGATGCAAAATATTATGAATAGCCAGAAAAGGCGTTTTACGAAATTCATTTGCTTCTTTTTTGATGTTTTTGTGTGTGCAAATCATGTAAAAGCAACTCTTGACAAACCTGTTTAACGCCTTTTCAGTCACATTACCTGTTAATTTTGAGCGAGTCTGCAAAATTTGAGTACTAGTAGCAATGAGGACATATCAAATTTTATCTTTAGTGTAGCGTTTTTAACAACATTTTGATAAATTACTCTTTTAATATATTTGAATATTTGTAATACTAGTATGGTGTATTAAGATTTTGAACAATGGTAAGTAACATTTAAATAAATAGATAAATCCCTATGTGTGTAAACAGCTGTGTGTTGCATTTGTAATTGTAATAATGTTGTATTTTGTAACCAGACCCAACAATTCAGCCGAATGCATCTAGACTGCCAGTGGGTCCTGGGATTTATTACTTCAACAACAATAAACCAGTCTACAATAGGTATATTGGCGAACAAACAGATACCAAAAAACTCCGTACCTAGTACAACTGTTGAATACGTAATTTATCATTGGACCTAACACCGCTCCTGGCATGTAATGTAAATACAGTATTGATACACTGTATTTTTGTTATATGTATGCCAGTATACGCGGTTACGTAACTTTATATCTACTAGTACATTTCATTCTGTGGACGAAACATAATGTTTCCTGAACTGAAATATGATTTTATGATAAAGTGAATAAGTTTAAAGTTAAAAATTTTGGTCCAACACAAACAATTCTCTCACCTAGAGATTTCGACCAGTTACTCTGGTCTTCCTCATTAGACTGACCCAGTGAGGCTTGTCACGTGGCTTCTTTGAAGTGTGACGTAAACATGTAACTTTAAACATGTAACTACCAACACAGATGAGCTTTCATGATAGTATAAAAAGTGAATAAGTGTTAATATTAAACTACGATACGTGTATGACCTTGTATATAGATTTCAAAATCTACGAATCTGTACTTTGTAAATATCAACAAAATTCATACTAATACAAAATGTATGCCTGTTCATTAATACAGATTAATTAATTCATTCATTTAATGCTGTATTTTCCGATTAACATATCTAGGATGTGAGACTACGTTGATAGTAAATTGAGTTTCAGACTCTTCTTCTGCATATTATTTGTATATTAACCTGTCTTAAAATTGTATATTCATGTCGCCACATTATATGTACTATATTTCAATTATGTGATATATACTATGTACTATATTTTAATTATATATTATATATTTTAATTTTAATTAACTGATTGCATTTCATTGTTAATCTGCTGAGTTTGAAACTGTTCTAAAATTGCAACACAATTCAGGAGTTCCTCCTGCGCTGCCATGTTGTTTTTATTAAATAAAGTTCAAGTTCAAATAGTCGTGAATAACTTTATTTCTAAGCCAATATGAAACAAACAACGATAGTAGACATTTAAAAGCTACCGGATACAAATATAACAACTTAATATATACTATACTACTGTGACATGTGTACCCTTGTATATAGCTGTGTGTCTAAATGATGTCAACATACGTATTGGTACTCACAACGTATTAGATATTTAACCCTACCTAGACCGGGGGGGGGCTAAAAGTGCCCGCGGCAACTTTGATGTCACCTAGCGTCTGAACGGCTAGCCGTAGAACGACCAAACTTGGTGACTTTTCCTAAAATATTGTTGGCAACAATTCTCTATCATTGGAATAAGATAATAATTTTTTGTGTTGCCATGGCAACGGGTTTCTGACAGGCATTTTTTGCTAAATTTAGTACTTTTTGTTTCAACAATAGAATTTTATGGGTTTTATGTCAAGTTACTCATGGTTTCTAATATTAATAACATCCCATAGAATTTTATGTAAATTTTATCATTAAATATGCATAATTTATGCTAATTTTATGACGTCATTGGCCAAAATCCAAGATGGCGGACCATATCATTAGAACAGGTATATACGGGTTATTTTCATTAAAATTTCATCAATACTTCCATTTCTTTTTACAAAAAAGGTTTA